AGCAACCATCCATCGGATGGCTAAGCCTAAATGTCCGACAAAACTAGATCATACGGATCAAAATCTGACCATCAAAATTTGCACTGAAATGCAAAAGGCCGAATGTCCATACCCAAAGACCCCACTCGCCCGAGTGTCAGGACAAAACTGATAACGATATGCCTGATTCAGGATGTGAAATTCTGCCGGGCTAATGTACCTATCTGTGTGGTCACAAAAGTCCAAAACCAACGGGCTGCTCCCCGCTGACTTCCAGAGGGCGCAGCGGGAGGCCTGATACGGTTGTGAGGTTAAGCAGGCATGTGCAGGACGTGACGATTCCTTGGGTGAGCCCAGAACCAGAGCGCCATGTGCCGGCTCTGCATGCATGGAAGCCTCCTTGGATGGCGGGGAATGGCCATGATCTGCCCCTGCCTTCCCTTGAGGGCCAACAGTTCCACAGGGGGTTGCCCCAAAGGGGTGCTCCGGGGGCAATACCTGCGGCGAAGGAGACAAGGCGGACACCACACAAATCAGGCAGTCTCGACCCACACAAAACAATGGCCACAGTCACCCTAGAAATAGGCCTGACGTCTTCCTTCGAAGTCGGCGTACAGCTGCCCAAGAGGCAGGGAAATTAAAAACGGTTGTACACGCAAAAATCAGGTCCAGGTGAAGGCCAAAAGTCCAAGCGGACGATTAACCGGGACCTTCCACTGGAATTCACAGCCGGTGTTCGATGGAAAAAAAAAAAAAAATGCTGAGCACCCTCTCTGTCGCATATTTTATTTGTGTCGGCGCCCCTGCCCCACTCTTAATCCTTGTCGGCGACCCTGCATCAATCTTAATCCTATGTAACCTTTTTTTCCGTTGCTAGTGTACTAGTGTTAATTCTGAGGCATTTGAGACCACCATGATGCTGGAAAAATAACTAATACTGGAAGATGTAGAGGCGAGAGAACCTATGCTTGACAGTGTGAAGCTCTGGCAGAGGAGCAGGACCGGATTTAGGTCTTGTTCAGGCCCGAAGATACATACAGCCTTGAGGTTCCTACCGTTTCAAATAATACCAGCTAATCGCTAATCTTAGAAAATTTTAAAATTCATACGCTTTTAAATATAATGGAAATAAACTGTCGTTGAATTTTTATTAAAGAAATAATAAAGTTTGTGTTTGCTAAACCAATCCCAACAGCTTTGGCTGTTTTGTGGTTTTTCTAAGCAATTTACGTCCAGTAGTTTGCCATTTCTTTCGTCGGCTTTCTTGATACCACTGTCGAAACCAACGCAAGGCGCATGGCCCGCAGCTGTGATCGAACCCAGCATCCCGGCATTACGGAGCGTTCGCATCAGAGCCACAGAGCCGACAATTATAATATATAATCCTCTAAAAAATCTAAAATATACACATAAAATGAAAATTGCATTTAACAAATATTAAAAGAAAACTGCTCTTGTTTAAAAAATGAATTTTGTCCAAGTCCTTGCAGATTGTGAGGCCCTAAGCTGAAACTTTTTTTTAGCTTATACATAAATCGGGCACTGTATGTATGAGTGAATATCGTTAGTAGCATGGACTCAAAATACTGAGGAACCAGATCTGTAGAGAGACACGAGTGCCTACGCCACCTGGCAGGGCACATGATGAGGGTTAGAGAGTATCCTAAGGTATGGTCTGTGGTAATGACACCTGACTAATAACAAAAGGTATTCAGAGGTGTCCACTAATCCTAGAGTCCACTCTGTTCCCCAGAGCTATGTTCACCACACTATGTTTATCTTCTAACTAAGTAATAACCAGGCTTCATTTGTAATCTTCTGTTCCATGAGTTATAAGAACACAGTGGCATTTTTGTTGAAACTCTCTATTGCTGAATTGATATCGATACTTTCCTATCAATATAAAACTAGAATCGTTTCAAGTGTGAATTTTGAGAATATCGATGTCGTCCAAAACACGAAAAATTGTTTGCCTTGACAATAATGGCCGCCGACAGGCGATTTGTTAAAAGACTATTAATACTAGGCCTAATGCATATATTTTGAACAGTAACTGTTATTTAGACTATAAACTATAGCAGAAATTAAAACGAGTTGAAGAGCTCAGTATCTGCAGTCAGTCTCACTTGAAAGTATCAACTACCAATTATTTAAATTCATTCGCGCGCCATGTCTAAACATGTTTTCTATGAATTTGTGCTTTTTTGTTTGACTTCACATAAATGCAGGCACGTAATAATTTTTACTAATATTAAGGAGATTAAGTAAATTGTTTATTTGACTCTGGATTACACTACACATTTTCATTTGTGAAAAAACGATGTTTCCACAGTATTGCACAATGTGATCGTTGCTGCCAAATGAAATACAGTGGTATCTCGACATACCAACTGAATTCGTTCCTGGTTCATGTATCCAAAGCTAGTGTTCCATTACACACCCGCTATCATATTAAAATAAAAAAATTTAAAATAAAAATTATCCACTGGTGCATTGTTCATTGTAAAAAATGGCAGACTTTTTTTTCTTGTTGGCAGCTTCACACCCTTTTACTGTGGAAACAAAGACCTCTGTCAGGCTATCCTCCGAATAACGGGCACAAAAGATGGCGGCTGCAAAAACACCCTAACAGAGCCTCAGTCACATGTTAATTGCGCACTTCCGGCCACTTAATTTGTGGTTTTCCGGCGACTGCCACCACCGCCGAGAGTATCCCCCACATCGTTCACGCGGCGTGGATTGGGGATAAACTAGATGGCTGGGACTCATGAGCAGCAGCTTCCGCATCTCCTGCAGCTTTGCTCATGAGTCCTAGACATTTCATTTAGCCCCAGTACATGCAGGGTGGTGGATACTCTCGGCGGAGGCAGTAGTTGCCGGAAAACCCCAAATTAGGTAGCCGGAAGTGCGCAATTGACCCGTGACTGAGGCCCTGTTTTTGGACGCCATTTGCCGCCATATTTTGTGCCCGTTATTCGGAGAATAGCCCTCTGTCATCCCCTCACAGAATAATTGCCAGGTTACCCAAGGTTTGCTACTTTCCCACATAAAGCTGCATTTGCATCCGCTGTCTTTCTGTTGTTTACAGACTTTCGGATTTTCATAATGATGATAAACCAATAATGGTTTTATCTTTAGATCACTGCTGGCATTAGAACAAAAGGGCACAGTTAGTCTTGTCTTTTCATTGGCTTGTTCCCTGGCAGTGTCATATTCTCCTCATTGGTGAACATTCTCTAAGGCATTCTCTTACAGAAAAGCCCTGTTTCTTCAGATCTGAAAACTTGTTCTAGTCTATAACCCTCTGACTCCACCAGTTTCTGAAATTGCTTCTCAAAATTTTCACCAGTTTTTTTTTTTTTTTTTTGGGTCAGCATTTACACTTTCACCATGTTTAGCAACACTATGGATACCGGTTCTGTTCTTGATTTTCTCAAATCATTCTTTGCTAGTTTTAAACTCTTCACCATTGTCTTAGCTACTTGTAGTGGATGGTAATATTGCGATAGATCTGTAAATAGCTTGAGCTTTTAAACAGATCATATTTTGAGATACACTATCTGCTTTCAGTTGACTGTTATTAATCCAGACGAACAGTACAGTTTATATTTCTTCCATAACTTTTTTCTTCAATACGACGTGATAGATTCTCCTTTAGCCACACCTCGTTCCATCTAAAAATCTGCTTTCTTAAAAACTGTACTTTAACAAGTTATACTGTTGGCACTAATCAGTTTCCATTACTCCTTTCTCATATTTTTCCAGTCTCTTAATTTCCATTGGGATTTTGTTTTTCTCTTTGTGCTTAGTTTTCTTTGGCCTCACTCTGGAAATAATATGCAGTATCTAAATAATACTTTGAATTGTTTGTCCGTAGCACCAACTGTGTGTTTATAAACTAACTGTATTATTTGGTTATATAAAAATACTAAAATACACACAAGACATAAATACGTACCTGCAGCTAGCATCGCACACACCACTTGTTGATTCGTATTCCAGATAAATGTGATGTAACAACATACACACATACATACACAGTGCATCACAGCTCGTATCTCAAATCTATGTTCGTATACAGCGGTCAAAATGGAATATGAAAACAGTTTTATATAGAAAAGTTCTTAAGTCAAGGTACTAGTGGCTGTTTTGCTAAAACCTTTACTTTTAGCTTTAGCTGATCATAGGCTGATGTGATCTCTGCACAGACAGGTCTGTCATTTGAAATGTCAGGAGCTTGTGGGCATTTACGGCTCAGGTCAGAGAGAGAACTGTCAAACAAGACTGTGGTGCCTTCACCTTGATGTTTGACTGTATAGGACATGGCAGCAGCTAAAGCAATAGCCTGACTAGAAACACAGACTTTCACTAGGGCATGTTTTCTCAGCGACTCAGTGAATTTTTTCAAGAATGTTCAGAAGGGTTGCACACGAAGACCATGTGTGGAGTCCCTGAATAGATCTAGGCTGACAAAAATCAGCTTCATATTTGCTCCAGGGCTTTCTGGTGTAAAGGGCAATGAACGAGCTGACAGACTTGCAAGTGATGCTCACGTGGGAAATAGACGATATACTGAATGCCCTCAGAGAGGCGGCTCGATTAAATAAATCAAGTAATGATTGTGAATCTGCAACACTGATGAGACTTCACGAACATAACATTTAAAGGGGTGGAGCCAGACAAGCGCTACACAGGGGCCCAAAGAAGAATAGTAAACCAACACAGAACTGGTGTCATAAGCCACTACAAGCTGAGGGAGATACTGAAGAGGGGATCTGAGCACTTATGGACTGATTGGTTCGATGTGCGATGATGATAATCTGTCGACAAACTAACTAACTAATTAACTAGTGCATAATCATAAATTAAATTTGAGACTTCTGCTAGGGGGCAGTTAACTTATTTTAAATTTAGTATAATTAGATACTTTGTTGCACAGTTTGTTGTTAATGGACATTCTTTTCTCTGAATTGTTTTCCGAGCAGATGACTTAAAAGGTAATTTGTATCAAAACATTGAAGATGGCACCACTGTCTTGGCCTGTAATTGAAAGAGTCAATGTGGACTCAATATCAGATGAGCAGGCAGATGAACTCTTTGATCTGTTGAAAACTGTAAGCTGAGAATGTAGTTTTTATGTTTTGCTTACATTTTCTGAAATTGAGTTATAAGACCAAAACTTTCATTATATTTTGCGACACACAGTATCATTAGATTTTACCAATTGCTTCCATTTTAGTTGATTTATTTATACATTTTAGTTCCATATATGTGACATTATTTGAAGCTGAAATAAATCCTGCTGCATCCAATATTTGCTACAGTAAGGATTAAGGAGGTCTATCATAATAAAAAAGATATAAATCATCAGTCTAAGTAAATGAATGTGCAGTGGGGAGTGACCAGTAGATCTGGTCGACACTCAACACTCAGAGGAGAGGTGAGATGGACATACAATCAATGTGCAGCGGGGAGTGACCAGTGGATCTGGTCGACACTCAACACTCAGAGAAGAGGCAAGATGGACATACAATCAATGTGCAGCGGGGAGTGACCAGTGGATCTCGTCGACACTCAATACCCAGAGGAGAGGCAGGATGGACATACAATCAATGTGCAGCGGAGAGTAACTAGTGGATCTGGTCGACACTCAACACCCAGAGGAGAGGCAGGATGGACATACAATCAATGTGCAGCGGAGAGTGACCAGTAGATCTGGTCGACACTCAACACTCAGAGGAGAAGCAAGATGGACATACAATCAATGTGCAGTGAGGAGTGACTAGTGGATCTGGTCGACACTCAACACTCAGAGGAGAGGTCAGATGGACATACAATCAATGTGCAGCGGGGAGTGACTAGTGGATCTGGTCGACACTCAACACTCAGAGGAGAGGCAAGATGGACATACAATCAATGTGCAGTGAGGAGTGACTAGTGGATCTGGTCGACACTCAGAGGAGAGGCAAGATGGACATACAATCAATGTGCAGTGAGGAGTGACTAGTGGATCTGGTCGACACTCAACACTCAGAGGAGAGGTGAGATGGACATACAATCAATGTGCAGCAGGGAGTGACCAGTGGATCTGGTCGACACTCAACATTCAGAGGAGAGGCAGGATGGACATACAATCAGTGTGCAGCGGGGAGTGACCAGTGGATCTGGTCGACACTCAACACTCAGAGAAGAGGCAGGATGGACATACAATCAATGTGCAGTGAGGAGTGACTAGTGGATCTGGTCGACACTCAACACTCAGAGGAGAGGTGAGATGGACATACAATCAATGTGCAGCGGGGAGTGACTAGTGGATCTGGTCGACACTCAGAGGAGAGGCAAGATGGACATACAATCAATGTGCAGTGAGGAGTGACTAGTGGATCTGGTCAACACTCAACACTCAGAGGAGAGGCAAGATGGACATACAATCAGACTCCTCTTGGTATCATCAGAACTGGAACTCTGCACTTGCTGCTGAAGAAGGAGATGGAGCGCTTATGTGAATGTCCAGAGTGATGTGATGTTGGCTCTCAACTCAGCTCAACTCAACTCTGCCATGAAAGGAAAACATTATGAGGAAAAACAGAAGGCATTCAAGACAAAACGGCTTCACATAGACTTGCTGAGAACAGGCTCTATGGAAGGATATCATGAAAAGATACCAGACCAAATGAAAAGTAGAACCAGTTGGCTTCACAGTATGACAAACACGAATGATACATGAACTTTGTGGCTAGAGAGCCTTCATCAGCACATTACATAAATCTACAATAATTAAAATGCACACGAATACACACAACAATCACTGAACTGACTGTCTGCAATAGAAATCACATTTTTGCCTGAAACCTGGTGCTGATCAAAGTAAAACTGCCATTACTGCACTTTGGGTGTAGAGAGTCCTTTGAGCCTAAGGATTTAGGGCCGCAAGCTAGATCTGTCACTATGGACTGTGCGGGTTGAAATTTATTTTTTGTAAGTAAATGCATGAAAAAAGGACACACAGGATGGTAAGTTCTGGCTTTGTCCCCAAAAAAAGTGAAACTATGTGAATTATAAAATAGAGCTGAAATAGTTGCAAGTCTCTTACCAGGGCACCCATAAAGGACGTGAAAAAAGTTAAACTAAACTAACATGCATGTCATAAAATGCAGCTAAGATTGGTTTGTAGAGACTGACTGTTTCGTCCCCTCAGAATTTTAACTGCAAAATCTAATAATGATGAACAAACCGACAGATAAACAGGTTTAGATTGGGGCCTATGCTCCATTGAGAAATGAGAGGGAGAAAACGAAAAAAAAATTTAAAGTTTATTTATTTGTTTCCCAGTTTGGGCCTAGTTTTCTTACTACACATGGCTGCATAGTTGTTCCTCTTCATCTTTTTGTAGCAGAACATCGCTTTCATCTCAGTCTACCTAAAAGAAATTAAGTCTCTTGCCAGCTCTCCCACACCTCCTGCACTGTGCTATCCAAGGTGTCACATATATCCTGTGCCCATCTTTGTACTGGTTGGCCCTGTACTTCTTTCCTAGTAGCATGCTTGCTGCTGTTATTCTTTCCAATCTGCTGTGGTCTGTTTCCAAGACAAGATACTGTTTATTAGCCAATCTTTCTTGATGTTCACATGTTTTAAAATGTCAGTATTTCTTCTCTTCTTTGTTCATGGTATTCTGATGATCTTTCTTTAGCATTTCAGCTTAAAAGCCCCTATTTTTTTCTTTAATGACTTCGAGAGAGACCATGACTTACATCAAATGTTGCTACAGGGAAGATGCATGCTCTCACAATTTTAACTTTAATTTCCTTTCTAAAGCTTAACTGTAAACTTATAATGCTGTTTAATAATGCTGTTGTTTCTACAAGAGTTAATGTACCAGCAGTTTATTTTGCATTTTACTGCAACTGCCTTCACATGATCCCTGAAGGACAGGTTTTTCTTTCAAACATGATTGCCATGTACCTCAGTTTGCTTTCTCTTTTGCCAAAAATGTAAAATAGTTTTCACTGTTTGTAATGAATACTGGTTTATCAGTGGCACCATACGCCGTAATCTTTATTGTAATTTAGCCCAAATTCACATCATAATTATCATTGTCCTCATGTGTCACATAGGGCTCACAGTATATTCTCGGTCTTTTAACTTTTGATGCTAGTAGTTTATGTTGTGACCACTGGAAAGATATGTGGAAGGAGGATAGAGGAAGACAATGAGAGAAGATTATTGACAGTCTTGTTGCATGGCATAGAGGTGTCTCAGCACACAAAGTGATACATGCTGCAGGAGATCGCGGGTTGTGGAGAGACATGATTGCCCACGCCAGTCGGCAAGGCACCTGATGATGACTAGTGGTTACTCAGACGTTGCACTCGTTTCTTCACTTCTCTTGAATTCATCCTAAATTCACTTCATCCTTCAGAAGCAAATACAGACAGTAAATGTTGACATTCTTTCTCTGAGACAATCTGTATGATACAGTGTGATTTTGCACTAGTACTTATATTCCTTAAAAATTGATTTTCCTCCTGCAGTGAACCTTATTTTTTTTTTTTTTTTCAACATTAAAATATGTATACAATTCTGCAGGCAAAAGTGGATGATGACGCTGATAATACGAGAGTTAGGAAGCTCTTTACAGTCACACAAGTTATTATGATACAAAGAAACCAACTTTTCGAGGATGCCATGAATGAAGCAGAAGCCGAAGCAAAAAAGTCACTGAAAAGAGGTCATTCATTTTATTTTATTATACTCTTACTCTAGTTTATGAGCTTAATTAACTCTAAAATTGTTAATTTATCAAGAATAACCAATTTTTGTATTAAAGCAAAAATATTCAGATTCTAGAGGAAAGTTGTTAGGAGAACTGGGGTTAGTGTCTGGTTAAGGCATAGTTACTAGGGAATCTGGTCGACACTCAACACTCAAAAGAAAGGCGAGACGGATATACAATCAGACAGTTACTGGTACCATCAGAATTTGAACTCTTCGCTTCCTGCTGAAGATGGAGACGGAGTGCTTATTTGAGTGTCCCGAGTGCTATGATGTCGATTCTTAATTCTTAATTCAACATTCTAAGGCATAGTTAAGACGGGGTCAGTAGTGAAAGCTTTTTCAGGTGTATTTGGTTTCTATAAGGAAGTAAGGTGGTGAGAAGGGAAGGAGTCTGAGTTTGAGCTGAAAGAATTCAGACTGAGTTCAGGAGCTTGAAGCAGATAAAAGTGCTGAAAATTGGGTGTATGCTTAAAAATGCAGTGCATGGGTATCAGTTTGGGAGACTGCAAAGGAATTGGTTGCTTGGTAAGAGGGAAGAGATGTAAAATAATAGAATAAATGATCAACATTATGATGTGTTTATAAAATAAAGCTGCAGGAAAAGGTCTTCTGTAATTGTGATGTGGAAGGCAACAGTGTAGAGTTGCTCGATGCTCGCATGTGGAGGTGAAGTTCATGGGTTCAATCCGAACGGAGTCCGGCTTTTAAAAAAAAAAAGTCCTTGGCTTCCAGGTCTACCCAGCCCTAAATGGGTACCCAAGTAAAGTTCTGGAAGAAAGGACAGCTGGTGTGATGTTGACCACGTCACTCACTGAGTTTTGATTGATCTGTAAAATATAGGTCTAGCACTAAAGGCGAGGAAAAAGGTCCATTGCAAAGGAATTGGTCCTCAATTAAATAATCATCATTATGAGGTGTCTCTGTGAATTATAGCTGAAGGAACAGGACTTCTGTAATTATGGTGTGTAAAAAATGAGGGAGGCCACATACTATTTCATATGCTGACTTCCCAAGAAGCTGGTCAGGGGGTTTGTTTTTATTGTTGTAAGTAGTATAGGCTTTAGTTATTATGTAGCAGGCAATTATGTGTGACTTAGTGAATTCTAAATTATGTTTCTGATCAGAATTTGCAAAGGTCTTACACTTCACACTTCAGTGGTAGCTGACTTCCCTGTATGGGTCCTGCAGCCCTGTTGTCGGGAAGGGTGGGGATAATAGATCCATTGCCGGCTAAAATTAAAGGTTAAAGTCGAGAAGATCAACTTCATTACACTGCATTTTTTGGTCTCTCTCCCAGAATGGTTTACCGCCTGCCGAGAGTGTCGCACAAAGCATGAACACCGCAGTTCTGGTGACAGTCTACAGAGATCTCCTTGACTCTGTATTTATGAACCAAATGAGTCGGGCAGTGATTGTGGTCACAGGCATGAGGGAAAGTTCAGTCTGATAGGATATGTATAAGGAGATACTCTGTACCTCACCTAAGGCGCTAGCCCTCTCTGTGCTGGTTTTATGGAACCTCATGCGCCACGGATAATGTCTCAAATGAGTGTTAATAGAGCTGGCAGGGGATCTCAAAGCCGGTGGCCCCCAGAGATGTAAAATCCAGTCTGACTCTCATCAGCCCACCCCCAATGCATGGGTGAAAACGTCTATCAAAACTCATTTGGAACATGGGGAAAGTCCGCTTGCTGAATGTACCACTAAATGACAACTCTTGATTAAAAGTCTGTCAGGTGAAAAAAAAAAAAACTGAACTGTTCAGACTTGTTCCTAGACCAAGAGCTTAGACGAGCAACATCTCTTGTGGGCGTTTTCCTGCAATAAAATCCTGTCTTCATAAATCCTCTGTCATCCCTCTATGACGTCATCACTAGGTTGAGGTACACCATGACAACCACTGTCAGTCTGCTAGTTAGGCTCAGATGGCACACAAGCAAAGTCTCAGTGTCTGACCACCACAATCCTACTAATTGGCAATAAGGTTCAGATGCCCGTATCTACTGGCCCTACTTGCACGAGTGTTGGGATCAAACAGGGAAACCCATGCCTAATGCATGCCTTTCCATACTCTTGTGCTAAGAGCACAGTTGAAACAAAATAATGTTAGATCTAACATGATGAAGAAGAATGTACCTGTCTGTGTAGTCATCGAAGTCCTTGATCTGCGAGCTGCTCACTGCTGATCTCTGTAGGGTGCAGCCTGTGAAGAGTGGAAAACTCAACATATGGCTGTGAGGTTAAGCAGACAAATGCAGGACATGACGTTTCCTTAAAGGGCGGGAAATGCCTTCGATCTGCCCCTGCCTTTCCTTGAGGGCTGACTAGTCTACACGAGGCTGCCCTTAGGGAGTTCTCTAGAGGCAACATTTGTAGACAGAGAGACAAAGTGGACGCCACACAAATGAGGTAACATCGTGTCCCATGAAACAATCGCAGTCATCCGAAAGATAGGAATGTCGTCTTCCTTCGAAATTATAGTACATCTGCCCGAGAGGCACGGAACCAGAACTGCACACAGATAAGCCAGTAAAACAGATCTACACGCAAAACTCAGGTCCTGGTACAAAGACAAAGTCCAAAAGGACGAACAGCCAAGACTTACACTGAAATTCACAGCTGGTGAACAGAAAGAAAAAGAAAACCAAATGATGCAGCCATGAAACAAAACCATGACCTTCAGAGCATAGGGCAAACGGCTTGACCACTTTGCCAGAAAAACCCCTCCACTTCCCCATAAAAGCCAATCATTGACTAATTTCCAGTATTTTCTTCGAAGTCACAGTGTATCTGCCTGAGAGGTGAGAAACCAGCAGTCTGCATATAAATAAGCCAGATCTGTAAAATAGATGTGCATGCGAAACACAAGTTCCTGAAGAAGACTAAGTAAGGTCCAGAAGTGAAACACAACTCTCTACTGGAGTTTACAGCCAGTGAGCAGAAAGAAGTTGAATTGCAGCTTTCTTCAAATGAATTAAATGCTGCTACTGCTAATGATTGATATTACACTGCTGTCATGGCAGGCAAACACACTAACCACCTATTAGTGTGGTTGCTCATTTGATTACAGGTTTATATTACACCTGTATTATTACTAACAGTTAACAAATAGTTGAACAAGAAAAAAAGATATATATACTGATTTCTGCGAAACATAATGCATTTGATGTGATGTACACAGAGGTTACAGAACAGTTGAAGTTGTTAAAATAGGCAGCGTTCTACCCCCTCCCTTTCAACAAAAACAGTTTTTTAGTTATTTTGTTGTTAGTTTTTTTTTTTTCAGTCTCATAAAAATGTCTTATCAATGTGTAAATATCTATATTTCATAATTTGTTTTCTTTACTACAGAACAAGAGCTGAAAAAAGAGCTAGAAAAAGCACATAAGGAAATTGAAGAGCTTAAGGTAGTGATTAAACTGTATAATTATTTATGTGTTGTGTTTATCATGGCGACCTGTTTGAAGAAATATGCAATAGTAAAAGATTAGACAACCTATATTTTTTACAAATGGACATTAATGTGTATACCCTTAACAACAGCCATATTTTACCAACGCAACTTACCTTTAAAAATTTTTGTTGTTGTTTTGAAATTAGTAGTAACGTGTGATTCACACTCGATTTTTACTATATACTTTGCCAGTACGAGTCCTGTCAGATTTATTTAGGATTGGAAAACGAATAAGGTATGAACTTATTCACCCAAACATAGAAATGTAATCCTTGTATATTTGCTTTAAATTGAAGCTACAGGCTGTGCTGTAAATGCCCATGCACGCTCGGCGGGCAGAACAGTCAAAGAAGCCAACGGTGCCTTCTCCATGACAACCAGCAGCATGACGATGGAGGTGATGGCAGTGACGCAAGCGTTTGCCTGGCTTGAAACACAAAAATACACCCGCATATGTATACTCAGTGATTCAATGAGTATGATCCGGAGGGTTCAGGCAGGTTCAGTGCGAAGACAATGGCTTGAATCAATTCAGAAGTCCACTGTGCGAGGAGTCACCTTTATTTTTGTTCCGGGACACGCAGGCGTCGATGGAAATGAAAGAGCTGACAGGTTGGCTGGATCCGCTATCACTACCGACGGTCGGCCTATGGATCATGCTGATATTATCAATGCCCTCAGAGAAATGGGAAGGATAGAGGACTTTGGTGGCAGGGAATCCACATCACTCGCCAGAATGGCAGACTTGGGAATTAAGATCGGCACAGCAAAAAACGAGACGCACACCGGACACGTCAGAAGACTTGTTAATCAACATAGAACTGGTACTATTAGCCATCGGACGTTGGGGTTCATACTGAGGGGAGGATCTGAGCATCTATGGACATGTCCGGAGTGCAATGATGATATCCCAACTAACTAACTAACTAACTAACTGAAGCTACAGGGTATTTACTTATAGAAATTGAAATACTTTATGTGGAACATATGGGGACAGTGCTACATAATTACATTCAGCTAACACTGATTGACACATTACAGGTTCTTTTTATTTATTTTTTTCCTCAGAAATTTGGCCCTGAAGGAGGTGCTTCAAGAGATACAAGGTTCCTACGGGAGCAGATTAGAGAGTTAGAGGAAAGCAATGATCAACTGAAACAGGAAGTTAAAGATCTTAATAGAGACCTAAATATTGAGAAACGTGCAGCTGAAAAGGTAACCACATTGTGTTCATAAATATGTAATATTAGTTTATATTTAATGCATTATGTGACTGACCAATACAAAGGTCATACATTTTATGATACCCCACCAGCAAAACAAAAATAAATGACAGTTATAAGAACATGCATCTTTCCTATGACTAAAAGTTAGAGATTAAAAGTTAAGAGGATTGACTTCATTGCACCAGGTTTTTCTTTTTCCTTAGTCTCTGTCTGCAGAAGTGCTAGCTGATTGCCGAGAGCCTCACACGAAGCATGAAAGCCAAAGCTCTGGTGATGATCCCAGAAGTCTTAGTAAAAATTGCATTTGAAACTGAATGATACAGCTTGATCACTTCACCTCAAACAACAACTATGGCAGTAATGTAAATCATGGACCATTTCAGGTCACAGAAGTAAACTGTCTTTTGAACTTGAGTGTTATAGAAAAATACTGACATTCTACAGCGTATAAATATAACTATACAGTTTCTCGGTACCAAATTAATGAACATCAAAATGAACATTAGGACCACAAAGCTTTCACCACCATATGACACAAACAGACAATGATATAAATACAAACAAGAATATATAATATCATTTAGCTTTACAGTAAGACCTGTCACCAAATCTCCATCCATGCTTGAAGCCTGGGGTCCCTGCATGGAGTAAGACCCAGTATATAAACATATTTTATGAAAATCTGGGAATTAAGTGGTATCACAGAATCACATATGTTGAGCTTTGGGAGAGAACTGAACACATTTCAGTGAATCAAGAGGTGAGGAAAAGAGGTTGGCTTAGATAGGATACATTGAGAAAGCCTGAGAACAGTATAAATAGAACATCATTAAACTGGAACCCACGAGGGCATAGTGATAAAGGAGATAAAAAAAACTGAACTCATCATGATGTCGTCCACATAATGAGAGTAACCTCCCTTCCCAATCATGCCTCGGCAGTTCACAGGGCCTGTCATATGTTATGGGGGTGTTATGAAATAGCTTCGTTCTGCATTCGCTCGCCATATATAATGTTTGTGGAAGGTTGTGTTGTTGTGAATCTCTTCGAGATGCTGCAGGAGCCTGTGTACAAGTTAGAATTACTGCAGTGTGCTTTATTTTCAAAGAGGCACAAATGATGATGCATGCCTTAATTACATCCTGTCTTCAAACAGCTCATCTGTCACACAACATTTATATTTACCATATTATGGATGTTAAATTAAATTAACAGTAAACGTAATGTGAATGCTTAAACAAATACTCACACATTTCAAACACATGCGCATAGAGTTTGTCTTTATGAACATCTTGAATTCTTGTCAGTTTTGCATTGTTCCTTTACCAGTTTTGTTCACTGCATATTTGATATTCATGTTTTATATCAACAGTACAGTGAAAGAATCAGTGAAGTTGAGAGAGAATTAAAAGAAACCAGAGAAGAGGTAATATACTATTAGAATGTTTTTGCTGTTTTTCAACTCTTTATTAATTTAAATTAAAAATTACACCACCTACAACAAATGTTAAAAGCATGTATGATTATGCTATATAGTAAATATTATGTGGAAGTGGTAGAGATGGGATTTTATAGAGGAATGATGGGAATATGCAAACCAGACAGAGTATGTATAGATTAGATCAGTGGTTCTCAACCTTCCTGCTCAACCCTTTAATACAGTTCCTCATGTTTTGGCAAGCCTTTAATAGTTCCTCATGTTGTGACGACCCTTTAATACAGTTTCTCATGTTGTGACGACCCTTTAATACAGTTTCTCATGTTGTGGCAACCCTTTAATACAGTTTCTCATGTTGTGACGACCCTTTAATACAGTTTCTCATGTTGTGGCAACCCTTTAATACAGTTTCTCATGTTGTGGCAACCCTTTAATACAGTTTCTCATGTTGTGACGACCCTTTAATACAGTTTCTCATGTTGTGACGACCCTTTAATACAGTTTCTCATGTTGTGGCAACCCTTTAATACAGTTTCTCATGTTGTGACGACCCTTTAATACAGTTTCTCATGTTGTGGCAACCCTTTAATACAGTTTCTCATGTTGTGACGACCCTTTAATTCAGTTTCTCATGTTGTGGCAACCCTTTAATACAGTTCCTTGTGTTGTGGCGACCCCAAACCATACAATTACTTTTTTGTCCATTTTATAACTTCTGTAAATATTTGTTTTGTGATGGTCTTTGGCGACTCCAGTGAAAGGGTCGTTCGACCTAAAAATGGCTCGCAACCCTTAGGTTGAGAACCGCTGGTTTAGATAGATGGGTTTCTGAGGCAGAGTAGTTAATTAACTTCTAAAAATACATTTTAAGCATTCACAATCTAGATAGATTGTATTGTGACATTAAAATAATTTTATACAGGCCTCCATGCTGAATAATCGGTTATGATATGATTTATTATGGATTCTGTTGTAAAATTAATAATGTTTATCTGAAGTCACATCGAGGAGATAGTGTAGTACAGTGGCTAGAGCCTGATCTACCGGCCTTGTGAACATGGGTATCAACTAGTATTGATGTGGATTTGTTAATACAGGCCTGGACTAAAATGGGTATTTGGAAATGTCCTGTGAAGTAAACATGGCCAGGTTACTATTTACATTACCTACAATCTTATAAAGAATATGGGTCTAGCACTATGTACTTGAAGAAGCGGCCGTGGTGTAGCGGCTAGACGCTCGCCTGAAGATCCGACGGTCATGGGTTCAGGTCTTGAAGGAGCCTGACTTTTTTCTTTCAATGGTGACATGGCTCCCAGGCCGACTCAGCCTTAAATGGATAGCAGTCAAAGTCTTGGGAAGTAAAGGTAACTGTAATGATGTTAATAACATCACCCATTGAGTTCTGATTGGTCTATAAAATATAGGTCTAGCCCTATATGCCCAAAATGCCTGAAGGCGAAGAAAGGAGTCCTTTTACTGTATGCTTGATGCACAGCAATACAACTAATGCAAACAGCACTTATTAGTTTTTGTTTTGTTTTGGTATTCATTTCAATATTTGCCTATGTTTAGAATGATCAGTTGCGGCAAGATCTCAGTGATTACAAGATGCAGATGCAAACCCAGAGGGACAGTATTGTGTCACGGAGAGGGGAAGATGCTGAATTCAAGGAAAAACTTGCTAAAAAGAATCGAGAGCTTGCAGAAACCATGGAGGAATTGCAGGTATGATTAATTTACAGCTTTCTCTTGTTACATGTTGGTTATTTTAAGCTATGTAATATTCTTTTATTCTTTGTCTTCATGTACCTGATCTGGAACAGACATTAGCAATCATGACTGTTCACTTTTGTTTGTCACTGGAGGTTATAATCAAATTGCCCAGTGTAGGTTCTGTGGCTCCATTTTGAAGAACTCAAAACTGTCAATATACGGAATAATGTGGTGAACAAAAATCTGATCAGTCGAATTGTAGAACCAGTCAGTTTTACAGTATCACAAACAGTCAGTGAATGTTGCAGCCAGAGACTCTTCATCAGCATAAATCTGTATAATCACAGGTACGAACAAGAAAATACAGAATCACTTAATTGACACATCTCCGATATTATTGTGCATAATTGGAGATTTGAAGAAGCATGACCACCCATGCCAATCAGCCAGGCAAAAGTATGCTGTGGATTCTACATCAAACACCCAGATAGATTAGCAGACTGTGAAATGTGTAGAGAGCTGTAATTTTGAGTTCAAATTCCTGTATTAGTGTCATCCTATTTATGAAGCTGTCTTCAATGCCTAGATTATTTTTTATTATTTATTACGCTTATTGAAAAAATGATTTATTCACCTTCTTCTTGACATACAGCTTATGTGATTTACGACTATCCGCATTTGTGATTAAAAAAAAAAAAAGGAAATAGTGATAAGTATATTGTTAGTGTCAAAAAGTTTCCCAGAACTGAAGCAACAGCGAGCATTATGTATTTTTGACATTGTGTACAATAATTATTCCTACATAGATTTAATTGTTATGTTTTATGTTCAATTTTTCATTGTTATAACCTGTTTGAATGAAAATAGTGTTGAAAAATGTAAATTCTACTTATAACCATTTAGTCAGAACAGATCTTGGTCATAAGTTGAGGAGACTAAATATATTTTTGATGTTTTGAGTCTAAATAAATATTTGTAAACATGCAAACTATTAACAGTTAGTAATCTAGTTTGGTAAGTATGTTTTTGGTTGAGTTGAGTTAAGAATTGACATCACAGCACTCGGGGCATTCTCATACACACTGTGTCCCCATCCTCAGCAGCCAGCGCAGAATTTCAATACTAATGGTGCCAGTCATAGTCTGGTTGTATGTCCATCTTGCCTTTCCTCAGAGCATAGTGTGCCGGCCGAATCAAACCCTGTAGTCGCACCCAGGTTTTTGTGTTGTATTATAGTCATTTAGTTACACATCCTTTGGTCATGTTCTGTGAAGGGAAAAACTGGAGGATATGGTGACAACAGGAATGTTAGAGATGATGAGAGGCAGGAAGAGAACACGGTTTAGGATGCTGGACAGTTTGGCATTGTAGCATGGAAGTGGAATATCTCTAATACAAATGATTGACAGCACACAAAACAGAATACATTGGATGGACAGGGTTATCAGAACCACATATAAGGGACTATACGCAGCTCACTTTTTACCATCTCATTGTATTATTTGTTTGCTTTCATTATATTAACCCTGGTGTATATTAGTAAATATGTTAGATTCACTTAACAGTCTTTTAAACTGAAAAATAAACTATGTTCAACTTGCAGAATGTGTCAGATGCAAATGATCTGCTACAGAAAAGATGTGACGATCTTCAGAGAAATCTGGAAGATGCCATATTACAGATGGACAGAACACGTGAGGACTACTTAAAACTCAAGGTTTGTGGTTATCTGTCATACAGTACTTTGTGTCGCAACTGTAGATAGTAGTGACAGCACTTGATCTTGAAGAAGCATACAGTCGGAGTCAGATATGATATTTTGATATCTCTATATGGAGTAGGGGTCTGTTCCTGGCTAGTTAACTGGATAGCAGCTGTCTTGTAAGGTTGCTTTTCATCTGGATACATGGGTCTCTGAGCCATGTAATATTGCCCCAGAACTACCACAAGGATCTGCAGTTTCACCAGTGCTCTTTAATGTATACATGAGCAAGACTGCAGAGCTTGAAGCACCTGGTATTGAAAGGATATCAACATTTGAAGATGATGTTCTTGTGTTTCAACCAGGAAGAAAAAGTCAAAAAATTGCCTCATGAGCTATAGGCAACAGTGTGACTAGCTGGTATGCAGAGATGAGTGCTACCATCAACCCAGAAAAGGCAGTGGTTTTGTAGTGTTGTCTGGGCTATAGAATTTTTAGAGCTGATGTCCCAAGCCTTACAGTTCCTGAGTATCCCCTTCGATAGAAGCCTGTCTTTAAAGGATTATATGGAGGTAGTTTCAGCAAAATGCCAAAAGGAGCTCAATGCCTTGAAAATTGTGTCAGCAATGGATATGGAGCAAAGAATGCTTTTCACCATGTTCCAGCATTTAATCATCTCGGTGATGAATTGTGTACTGGGTCTGCTCACTGTTTTAAAGATAGTTGGTAAAGCTAGAGTGCATTACCAGTGAAGCTATGTGGGTGATTCTGGGATGCACAGCTGAAACCCCAGTAGTATGTGTGATACCTTCTTTCACTGCAAACTGTTGCAAACAGACTCAAAGTGATGCAAACGTGGTCATACTTCAGAGTAGCCGCAAACAAAAAGCACATGCTTTATGAAGCCTTTGTTGCAGTTAAGGGCCTCAGGCTGATAAGAGGAAAGTTCTAGATGATGTAAGCAGAAGAGACAATTAAAGATGTGTGTAGGCTTGCAAACATTGGGTGAGGAGAGAAGCGGGCAGTGTCAGAACAGAAATCAGACTTGTATTGAGTTCTTATCACAGTGGGATGGGAGTGCAGGAATTGACCAGCAGAGAGCTGTAGAAGAAAATTAAACAGCTGAATCACAACAATTCTCTCTATGGATGGTTCTGTGTTGAGAGGGAAAAATGTGCATGGGGGTTAATTGCAAAAGCCATAGACTGCATACTCTGGATGTACCAACTGAAGCAGCAAAACAGGAAAACCATGTGACAGCCACCCATTGTTAGATCAACCACCAAAACAGAATGGGAGTTGTTAGCCTTAAAACACTTAGAGACATTGAAGACATACTGAGGAGGAGATCGGAGCACTTATGGTCATGTCCATTGTGCGGTGAAGATGATCTCCAAAATGAACAGGGGAAAATGCAAAAGCCACAGGATGTCGCTTAGTGCAGCATAGCCTGGCACAGGATACCACAACTTGATGATAAGAATAAACTAGGCAAACAATAATCTAATTTCTCTTGATGTCATACTCCAAGATGTGGAGTCGTAAACCTGTTTAGGCAGTAATGTAGGTAGATAAAGATGGAGGAACTTATAGAGATGTTAAAATGACATTAAAAAAGACAGTATGACTAGTATGTTTCTGCACTAGAATACAAAGAGGCATAGAAACAAAGACAGAGCAAACAAGAAAGTGAGAAGGGAACTAGAGAGTTCAGTTTACATGTTGGGGAGACAGATGATGAGCTGCCTGCAATAGCAAAGGATAGGGTAAATTTGTGTGAGTTAATTGAGGGCCTGTGCTCCTTAGGGGGATAAATGGAAAAAGACAGAAAAAACAAATATTCTGAATGTAGTTCCTTGTCAGTTTTTAAAATGGTACAAAAGGAATCTTTGCCTTTACTTCCAGAGTGTTCTCCAACAAAGTGATGCTGTTACAGATGCTCTCAGAGAAGAAAATGAAATTCTGAAAAATCAGATTCAAGACCTTACTGAACAGATTCAGTCCAAAGGAGAAGCAGATGATGTTATTATGGTTGCTGTTAATCAAAAAGTGGATGAGTGGCAAGTAAGTTTCTGTAGCAGTTTGTTGTCAAGTTTGAGTGAGTTAAAGTTGTAACTGGAAACATAAATGAAATGTTTAAATATGAACTGTTATTATGTTATGCCTGTATTTTACTAAATTCATCACCTGTATATTTCTTATTTCATTTCTAAAATTCTATGCTTCTCGGTAAACTAAACAAGATGATGTCACTTGTCATATACAAAAGCACACATTTCAAATAATGTATGTAAGCTAGTAAAGGTCTCTTTTCCACGCATTTATGCATATAGGACAAGACCTATATTTTTTTAGACTAATCTACACAAGATGAATGATGTGGTCAGCATCATGCTGGCTGCCTTTATTTCCCAGGACTGCACCCGGTACCCACTCAAGGCTGGGTCGACCTGGGAATGAAGGTCTGAAAATTACCCACCAGTCTGTCCTCTAGTGTACTTAATGGTCCTCTGGTGTACTTAATGCAAATGTGGAAGCACATCCATTAAAAGCCTGTGAGACATATACGCTCCTATCTTTGCAGGAAATTATGCAGGAAAAAGATTTTCAAATAAACAACCTCCAGGAACAACTCTTCCGCATGAAAGATCAACTTATTGCTGCAAACATGGATTCAGACAAGGTCACTGTGTCTGCCTTGAGTGAGGTCAGTTTTGTTGTTGTCTTGAGACTCATGGTCTCTGTTGTTCATATCAAGCTAACTCAATGTAAAACCAGGATTAATTATTTTATTCTCACAGAAATAAAATTTTTTTTTTTATTCTGAGGTTCTTATTCTGAGGAGCACTTAGCTGATGGGCAATTTATATTTTAGAAACAACAGTAGAAGTCCTAATCTACACATTTTGTGGCAACACCACTAGCCATTCAACCCTGGTTCCTCAGGCTCCAACCCTCTTGTCTTACATCCTAAAAAAAGTCAGTCAGGCAATAAAGTCTTTATTTTTTGCTTGATATCAGAGTTAAAAGTAAATTGAATTCCTCTTGTGCATTTTGTTGTGAAGTTCTAAGCTTAGAACAAGTTAATTTTAAAAAAACATACAAATTGAACACTATTTACCAAAAGTCAGTGGCTGTTCCATCATATATTCATATGATGTTAACTCTTTCGCATCTGGAAGCGGCAAACCCGGCATTTCAGGTAGGTTCTTATTCTCGCTTTAAAAAAAAGTGATGTGCTTAAAATTTAACTGACAATAAAATAACCAATCCTTCTGTATTTTTTTTTCTTTTCACTTCTGCAGGTTGCATTTTTTGGTAGCTCCAACAGATATTCTTTTCTGTCTGTTAGTATTTCTTCAGTCTCACAGGCTACTCAAAATTAATGCAGCAATTCTGTTGACATGCTAATGGAGATCTCAATGGCTTCTGCTGTGAAATTGCTTCCACCAGCAGTTTTTCAATCATTCAGGAGATTGATAGTTTTTCTAAGTTTTGCTGGATATGATTTCTGATCCCCCGTGTGAGTTCCTGGGCCCTATTATAGGGAAAACAAGAACAGACCCACTGCCTGCCCAAAAGCATGTTGTAAGAGTCGACTAATTGGGAGCTTCCTTCGAAGTCGGAGTGCATCTGCCTGAGAGGTAAGGAACCAACAGTCTACACTCAAATGTGTCAGATCCATCAAACGGATGCACATGCAACACTCAGGTTCTGGAACAGGACTGCAGTCCAGAAGTGGACGAACAACCATAACTATCCACCAGAGTTTACAGCTGGTGAACGCAAAGAAGACAAAGAAGAAGAAGGTTTCTGATAATTAATATTTACATCCATACCTGCTGGTCAGATATCTTGAGGTTATATTAGGCTGTGTTCAGAAAAGGATTCAGCCCACTTATTTGATCTTTAATATCGATGATAATGTTTCACTTAGTTGATTATGTCTTTCTCCTAGTTTCTTTGGTGTTGCAAAGGTATCTGAAGTAATTTTTTGCTATGCCTGCCTCTTTTGCTAAGTCATCTAAATGTCGCTTTTATTAACTTGTATCCACTTTCTTACTTGTTTATTAACTCATGTATATTTTTCATAGGGTATGGATTTAGTAGTGTCTGTTTTTCTAGTGTGTATGTTTGCATTATGTCTCCTATGCCTTTTTTTAAGATATCATCTACAGTTTTCTCTTTCATTCCTCTTTTCCCACAGACTTCTATACTTATTTGTTCCAAATGCTTTTAACCTGCTGCCAGTAGTCTTCAGTGCTCACCTGGTCTACTAGCAGTTTCAGAGCCTGCTACTTATTAGAGGCAGTGACAGTAAATTGTTACTCGATTTCTTGATTTCTGAGATATTCTTCATTGTATTAGTTTCCAAGATTCTTTGTATCTCTTGAGTTTAAACTTAAGTTTGCCTATCAGCAGATCATAATAATCATGTAGCAGGCTTCCACCTGAAAGTCTGTTTCTTGCCAGTTCCTCTATTTCATGAATTTGTTTTATGTTTAGAGGGTCTACAGTATTGTTTGTCTGCATTTGTATTAGCTTACCTTTTACTTTTACACTTGTAATTATACTGTTCTTTATAAATTACTGTGATGTTTAATAGGCCTGAGGTGTTTCAGTTTCCAAGATATGATGCTGTTTATGAACCAGTTTCTTTCAAGTATTTAGATCTTGTAAATTGTCAGCTTTTTTCCTGCTGTTTTTTGTAATTATTTCCGCGAATGAACCATTATATTAACAGTTTCTACTTAACGTATATTCAAAATTTGGTAACAATTTAGGTTTTAAAAGACAAGGATAAACAGATTGCAGACCTCACTGAGAAAATTCACCAGTACACATCAGAAATGGAAGCAAATGCAGCCATCATTGAAGACCTCAACAACGAATTGCGCAAAAGTAAGGAAGTAACTTTGATAATTTCTCACTGTAAATGTTCACAAGCTTTTTTTTTTTAAACAAAACTCATTTTCATTTTCTATCCTTTTGTTGATTAATTGCTGTTGCTAGTGATTAGTTGATTTTGTTGTTTTGAAGCAAATGCTAGGTAAATTCTTGAACTTGATAATTTAATGATCTGAATTTTTTCTGAGTTCTCTTATATAATTTAATGTGTTTTCCTTTCCTTGTGGCCTGTAATGTGTGCTATTATCACTGTATTCGTACTAATATAGTTGTTTCTTTGGTAGATGTATAATTTCTTCTTTAGCTCTGGTCTGCAACATAACAAAATTGCATTGCCTTGACTGTAGATATTTATCCAGTTAATATTTCAAGGAGATATTGCTATGCAACACCAACATGACCAGTTGAAAAAAGTGTTAAGCCTAACATTCTTTTCCATGTAGATAATTCAAGACCACTCTGATCCCAGCCTTACCTATAAAGGTTCCCATACCCAATTCAGTTGCACAGCAATTTAAAAAAATACATGCTAGTTAACTTACACTGGTCGATGGAGAGACGGTTTGGAAGCGAAGTAGCAGAACTTATCCTTATATTGCTCCTTTTCACAGTTAAGGGTTATCGTGCAAATGTTCCAAGTTAAGTCAAGAGGAAAGAACCCAGTTCTTCAGTAGGGTATAATTTGCTTTACTCCAAGTATATAATTGATTTGTCTATGCCTACTGAGTTATTTACCACAAACTAAACAGACCTTTCCTGAAATTTATGAAAGCTGTGACAGTTAAAATGAATAATATTGCCTTTTGAAAACAAAAAGAACTTGTAGTAAATATCAAACTTCTATTCATAATCATATGGCTGTGTTGAACTTTCATTTGTAAGATATAATTTTGCAACTAAACAATGTGATATTGTATGTTTCATTGGATTTATTTGTGTGTTCTTCATTGTATGTTGATATAATGCACCGACAAGATAAATTTAATATGCCAGACATTAAATTGTGCAGTGCATTGTTTGTGTCAAAATATTTAAATTACTTTTCAGTCAGTGTGGGTCAGTGCTTAATACTTAATAGCATATTAATGTATATAAAGTTACAAAATGGAAACAATAGTTGTTAAAAGTTTCGTCACATACTGTTGAACTTATATAAAAAGCATAAACACAGAATAGAATTGTCACATGATTAGTCTTTTTATGTTACTTATTGTAATAATTTTAAAGTGTGTATGCTAACCTTAATATAGTTATCCAGTTTTCTTGCACATTTTCACCATATGTAAGTTGTGAATGTTAATGCTGAAACACTGAGTTCTATAGGGTCTATGTTGAAGTTGTATTCATTTTACTAATAAATTATATAGTGGGTTCATCACCTGGAGATAGATTACAGAAGCAGCTGAGAGAGTTGCAGCAGGAAAACAGACAATACAAAGAGAATTTACAACATCTGGAGGAGGATATTAAGAAGGTAAGAGTTAAAGTATAGTTGTTCTAATTTACAGTGTTAGGTTAACAAAACTGAGAATAACAAGATTCATAATTGCTTAGTTTTACTCGTCAGATGTCAGACAATATGTTTGCTGGCTATAACTCATTGCCTGATACAAATATTGTAACAAGCAACCGATGATTTTATCAGTTGACATTTATAATAATCAAAAGTAATGTGTACGTAGGATGCCGCCATGATATAGCAGCTAGATACTCGCCTCAGGCCTGAAGATTGTAGGTTAAAATCTGCATCAGCCTGGATTTTTAAAAAATTCATCAATGACCTTGGTTCCCATGTTGATCCAGCCTAATAGTATGTGTACCAGGCAAAGTCTTAGGAAGTAAAGGTGGCTGGTATGATGTTGACTACATTATCCATCGAGTGCTGATTGGTCTATAACAGATAGGTTTAGCACTGTATGCCCAATTGCCCAATGGCTTGGAAAAGATTTCTTTTACTTTATTTGTACCTATATTGATATATGGTAACAAGCAGTTAAATGACATTAATGTCATTACAGTTTTGATACACTGAAAAACTGAAAGAAGCAATGGTAAAAAAAAAAAAGCAAATAATGAAGTCTTAAACATACTACATGAAGAAAACGGTGTCAACAATAAAGGCGACTGCAGTCAAGTAGGTACAGAAAACTTTAAATGACTCAGAATATTACTAAAAAGCTCAACAAAGAAAAGATGAATATAAATACAAGTGAACTTTTGACCAAAATCCTTACGCTGAACAAAAGTCAAACACATGCAAAATGAAGCTATGAGAGTCACTTTGTACTGTGCTCAAGATGTGTCCGTCTTGTGCTTGGGTCATATACTTGCCTTGTCTCCTATATATGAAAGGCATAAGATGTTACAGGCTAAATGTGTCTTCTAGACACCATGGGAACATCTTCTGCAAGAGGCATTTGGGCAAGGTCAAGGAGAGCTAGCTCCTCAGTGGTACGTGCAGAAGATACTGTCAAACATTTTTGTTGAAGTGACATGATAGTACATACGAATAGTGAGTAGTAGTATCTCCCAACACTACAGCTTTGCATAAAGTTACATTGAATTAAGAATGTTGGTAATAGTTAGTGGTAATACAGCAGTATCCATGCAATGGCTGATTAAGGACAATTCACTCAAATGGGATGTGACTGCATATACAGATAGCAGTGTGGTGATATTTAAAAATAGTGGGTGGGATTTCATTGCAAAAGTGAATATGCCAATGGAGGGAGAGGCAATAAAAGCAGCCCAAAATAGTTGGTGGAAAGTATAGCCTAGCATGTTTGTTGTAATCATAGTGACTCACAGAGCAGGCTTTGGAAAATACAAATTGATATACTGTTGCATGTAGAGTGACTTGACCTTTCTTGACAAGACTGAAGTCAGGAACATGTCATTTTTGTGTGTGTGTGTGCGCCAAAGAGGTGTAGGTGTGTGGAAAAATGAGGAGGTGATCTACTTTGTGAGAAAGTGGACTTGATGAAAGCGCTCTGGGATCAGATGCCTAAAAAGTGAAGGGGACTTTTCCGTGCTTTCAGGTGTGGTAGGCATATAGGCTAGATCTATGTTTTATAGGTCAATCAGCACTTAGTGGGGGATTTAGTCAGTGTCGTGTCGGCTCCCTTTACTTCCTAGGTCTTTACCTGGTACCCATTTAAGGTTGGGTCAACCTGGCAGCCAGGGTCATTAAAAAAAAAAAAAAAAAAAATACACAGTTCAGATTCTGTTGGATCCGCAGGTGAATATCTAGCCCCTACATCATGGAGGCTCCCGATAAGATGCATAGAAAAGCAGAAATAAACACAACTCCAAATCTTTAATAAGATTGCTCAACAGGAAATGAAAGAGGACTGGGAAGAAACTTGATGCTTATTTAAAAAAAAAAAAGATAATCAGATAGGCAGACTTTTTATCAGGCTTCCCTGAGCATCATCAGAATGGAAATGTTTTGTTGGCCACAGACATATACATAGGAAATGTCATGCACTGGATGTCAATTCTCAACCTTTATTGAGCCAGTGTGGACATTTAACTGCAGAATTGGTATATAATATTAAAATGTAATTCATTTGTTGCTTATTCTTCTTGTGAAGCCTCCAGATAATTACACATTGTATGTAGAAATGTTTGGAGACTTTTAGCAGTCTCTTGGTTCCTTAATAAACTATCATTACTATATTATTTTCCACTTACTAATAATATAGATTTAACATTGTATTTTCCATATTGTGACTTTCAGGCTGAAGAGGATTGCAGAAGTAAAGACAAGCAACTGAGTGAACTTTTGGAAAGGATGAGGCAATATGAAGAAGTATGTATTTTTAAAATTTTAAGTTTTAGATATTAGCAGGAATATGTGCTTCTTAAAAGAAGTATAAGGAGCAAGTCTCAGTAGGAAACTGTTTCAGTCAAAGCAGCTGTTGCTGCAGCACTGTGCATATGAGTATACATCATCATCATGTAGCAGGTCCTTTGCAGAATGTCGCTCTCATCACGGTCTGCCTGAAAGAAATTTATTCTCTCGCCAGCTCTCCTGTCTCAGGCACTTTCATACTCAAGAAGTCACTTATATCCTCTGCCCATATTCGTGCTGGTCAGCCCCTGCCCCTCCTTCCAGCTACCATGCCTTCTGCCATAATTTTTTCCAATCTGTCGTGGCGCTTGATATGACCAAAATATTTCAGCTTCTGAGACAGGATTCTATTTATTAGCCAATCTTCTTTGATGTTCAAATCTTTCAAGATGTCGGTATTTCTCCTCTTTTTCGACTAAGATATTCTGAGAATCTTTCTATAGCATTTCAGCTGTGAGTACACAATGAGTGTATATAAATATAAATATATATATATATATATATATATATATATATATATATATATATATATATATATATATATATATATATATATATATATATATATATATATATTCTTCTTCTTCTTCTTGTTCACCGGCTGTGAATTCCGGCGGTAAGTCACGGTTGTTCGTCCAAAATGGACTTTTGGCTTTTACCTTGACCTGAGTTTTGCGTGTACATCCGTTTTACTGGCTTATTTGTTTGCAGTACTCGTTCCCCGCCTCTCAGGCAGATGTACTCCGACTTCGGAGGAAATATATATATATATATATGTCTACACTTATAAAGAGTGTTCATCTGAAACCATTTCTAGTGGTTTTATTACAAAAACATGAAAGAAAACATCAATGGGTATGCAGAGTTTAACAAAACACTCATTTTGAATTAATTAGAAACCATCGGTTGGTCAGAAAAAGTTGCCGTAAGCATTAAGGAAAACATCCCATTGCTTAAGTAGGTGGCGAATGCCATCTGAAAGAATAAAAAGTTGTTGCTCACTGGACCAAGTGTTTACTGTATTATGTGAAATCGTTGCTTTTTTTAGAGCTATTTTAAGTATCTGAACAAATTGATTTGATTCAAGAACTGACATCACAGCACTCGAGGCATTCCCATAAGCGCTCCGTCCCCATCTTCAGCAGCCAGCAAAGAGTTCCGATATTAATGGTGCCAGTAGCTTTCTGATTAAACGTCCGTCTTGCCTTTCCTCTGAGCCTTGAGCTTCTGCCAGAATCTCTCGTCACCCCCAACTGCATCAATCTCACCAGACTGGTGATCCATCTGCTCCTCCGTATTGTACACACTCTCCCACAAGGCACTAACCACGTCTGCCCTATCATGTAGCAGTGCCAGCCAGTCTGTCCGCCTGTTCATTTCCCAACACACCGGCATGACCCGGTGAAAAAATGCAGACAATACTCCTTACTCGTGTCCTGAAAAAATTAAATATCTGAACAAATTAAAATCACACAGTGACAAATCAGGACTGTAGGTTTAATGTTGCAGAATTTCCCACATCATCCATGTAAGCGCTTCTTGCACAGTCTTTGCAACATAGGGAGGAGCATTATCATACACAAAAATCACACCATGGGAAAGCATGCCGGGACGGTTATTCTTGGTGGCTTTATGCAGCTTGTCTAGTTTTTCCATGTTTACACCAAGTTTTTCAAAGTCTGCCAATAATAGCCCTTTAAAGTTTTTTAAAAAAATGCGCTCAACACAACCTCAGTAGTGGAAACTTGTAAGTTAAAAATTGTTGGCTTCTAGTTAGCCGGCATGCTTCCATTACATGGTCTGTCTTTTTCTGCTCTGCTCAGAGTAATTAATTGCTGCCACTGTGCAGAAGAGAAATGCATCACCTTTCTGTTCTGTAACCCAGCAAGTGGTTCAATCATCTAACCATGTCTTTCTCCCCTTTGGGGGTAAGTCAGCATTCCTGGTACCACTGCAGCACACCTTCTGAGAGTGCAGTTTCTTATGAACAACCTGTTGAGCTGTTTCAGTTGACACATTGCATGCTTTCACCTGTGAACATAGGACTCGACAATGGTTCAACCTGTATTGCTGCATCAGTTTTGGCTGTGCTTTTTTTTTCTGTTGCAATGACAAGCACTAGATCTGCTTTAGAAGTCTGTCATAATGTCATGTCCTTTCCTAAACATTCATGCCCGGTCTGTCACTATTGTCTTCAATATATGTGTATATATATATATATATATATAATATGTTCTTCATCATTCAGCTATGTGCTTACAGCATATCTGGGACATTCGCACCTTTTGTTTGAGACATTCTACTTTTCAGACGTATGTTATCTTGGTTAGCTTTCCTGGTTAGTTTCGGTCGACATTTGCTCTCTTGTGTTGATCATATGCTGCAGGTCATTATGGCATCTATCTTGGATGATCTGGTCAGCAGACCATCTCAGGTGTCTGCTTAAAGTTGAACCTGAGGATAAAAACACATTAAATATTGATAAGGATCAGCTGTCAAGAATTAAGCATGTACAAAATATAGGTTTTTCAGATTTATAAATAATATTTTATAAAATGTAAATGAAATTTAACGTAATGGTATATTATGTTTGCAGGGTGAATATGGACTTTCAGAAGCAGTAGCTGAAATCAAAAGCTCCAAAAATCAGATTAAAGTGAGAGAAAGGTATGTTAGCCTGCCTGCATTTCCTCAAATAAAAATGACGACTTTCATATTGTGGTGGTATTCAGGGATCACTTGTCTTCGTTATTTAAATTTAAGTGATTCATTATATCACTGTATGTGTTTATCATCAGCAACTGGAGCTTAGGTGTTGTGTTGTGAACGCGATTCATAATGCTGGGGTGCCAGGTTCAATCTGGAAACAGAACGTTGTGTGTTGGTTTCAACATTATTACCAAGAGCTGACTGTTCAGTAAGCAGTGGCAAACTACTGAACGTAAAATGTGCCTAGAAAAACTCAACAGCCAAAATATGTTGGGGTTGGTTCTGCAATGTCCTGTAAAGGATACACAACTAACTTTTTATGTGTTTGTCACTGTGTGTGCTATTTGTGTTCAAGATAGCATCAACATTGTTAGCAGTTAGTTTTTATATATTTTCTTTGCCATTGATTTCCTAAATGTCAGTATAACAGCCAAACATATATATATATTTGTCTATGTATATATGAATGCTTGCAGAAATCATAACCTTTTTTGTTTATTTATTCTCTCTACATGTTTTTCTTTACTATTTGTAAAAACCACTGCACATACTCTTTCACTTTTTACTCCACATGAGTTAGGATATTATGTGTAGGTGTCTCTTAATATCAATTATTATTATTAATATCAATTAATAATCAAAGAACAACAAATGAAGTTGTTTGGACACCTAACAAGAATGCCCTGGTACTGTATGCCTCAGCGAGCCACACTTAAACCTTACAACTGGTATAGAGCGAGTGGAATACCTTGGAAAATATGGAGTGATGGCATTAAGAACATAATTAAACATCAGTCTGAATAGTGCTTTTGACAGAGCTGATCAACGAATGTTACATCTCAGTGAGGTCTCCAGTGAGGTACAAGGTGGAAGAGATGAAGAGGAAGAAGAAGTCTTTTAATATGTCAAACAACTTAACACACAGTGTTGTGTCTAATGTTGAAAAAAGAAGCTCATGAAAATTACTTAGTTGGCAATCTTTAATTATGTTTTCTATAATCTCCAGAGAAATTGAAGAATTGACTCAGTACATCAATAAGGCGGAGATGAAAATTAATGAAATCTTGGATGAAAATGAAGAACTGCGGTACAAGCTCGGCATGGACCCCAGAGAGCCCTTAGATTTGACAGAGTTAAGAAAGAACAAAGCAATTAGACAAGAAGAACTGAAGGCAATTAACTTCACTTTGCAGAGAGAGGTCAGTTTTACAGTTGCATCTTTTCCAAATATGAGTTCTATAGGTTTAATTTATTTCTTCTGGTAACTAAAACATCAAAATTATTTTAGCGTCTTGTGTGAACACAGTATAGGTAGGGAAGATCTCAAGATAATCTTTAGGTACAGGAGCAGACATTGCTGATGATGACTTATCCAGTCATCTATTATCTGCTATTTTCATGCAGTTGGTCTTTCTTTTATTATTATTATTTTAACGTCTTGTGTGAACACAATTTAGGTAGGGAGGATCTCAAGATAATCTTTTGGTACAGGAGCAGACGGGAGTCACCGTGGCATAGCGGCTAGACGCTCAAGTGCGGATTGGAAGGTCGTGTGTTCGCTCCCTAGCCGAGCCAGACTTTTTTAAAAAATAACCTTGACTTCCAGGTCGACCCAGCCTTGAGTGGGTACCGGGTGCAGTCCCGGAAAGTAAAGGCAGCCGGCGTGATGCTGACCAAATCACCCATCTTGTGCCGATTTGTCTATAAATATATAGGTCTAGCCCTATGTGCCCTATACGCCTAAAGGCGTGGAAGAGGGATCTTTTTTTTACTTACAGGAGCAGACATTGCTGATGATGACTTATCCAGTCATCAGTCATCTTCTATTTTCATGCAGTTTATATTTCTTTTATTATTATTTTAACTTGTCATCCTGATGTTCTCATTATCAAGGCAGCGCTGCAATATCTGACATGGAAACAAAGGAAAGATTTGAAATTTCCGTAATTATTTTTATGGCCTGAAAAATGAACATACACTTCAGATCTATTGGGCATATAGTGCTAGACCTATATTTTATAGACCAATCAGCACTCAGTGTGTCATGTGGTCAACATCACGCCGACTGCCTTTACTTCCCAAGAGTTTGGCTGGTACCAGTTTAAGGCTGGGTCACCCTGGGAGCCAAAACTGTTTAAAAAAAAGAATCTGGTTCTATTCAGACTTGAATCCACAACCTTCAGATTGGCAGGCAAGCATCTAGCCGCTGCATCACAGCGGCTCCCCTAACTGGCAGTAGAAAGAGCATATTCTGCGTAGTGGATACTAAGGCGTTTAACTTAACTCTTTCAGGCCCATGAATTTTGACAGACTTGGCCCACATTAATTTCCCTTTACAAAAAGGGCAGAGGGGTGGGTGTACAAGAAAGGCTGTAGAGATTGTAATATACTTCAAATCCCTTTAAAAGTATATATTTTTTAAAGGAGAAATGAATGTACTTTTTGAATCTGATGATAAGTGTTTGTTTGATTTTGTTATAGTTAGTGGAAAAGAAGAATTCAGCAGGTGTTAATTTCACAAGGACAACATTTCACAAAAAAATTCTTCACTTACCATGGTTTTGCAGCCACAAGAATATTAAATATCCAAATTTGAGAACAAAACTTCACAGTTTGTTCAATTTCCTAACATATTCTAAAGTTATAACTTTCTGGGTTAGTTTATCACTCAGGGGCTCTTAGTTCCCACCGAGTGCTAAGCAAAATTTCAGAGAAAAAAATGGCAGAAAAATGAGCCATAACACACACACTATTTACTCTTCACTTTGTACAGTTATTTACAGACTGTAGCTGCGATGATTTCAATGTAGCTTAGCCATAGTATAGTACTATCTCTTTGTTTAGAGCACTTTCCTTCTCTTACACCATAAATACGGTAGTATGGGACATTGTCTGTGTAATAAACTCGTCAGAATCGCTAGATTCCGAACAGCTGATCGCTCAGCTACACTGGTGAAAATTCACTGTCCGAATCACTTTCCGAAAATTCTAAATTTTTATTATCATTATCACAATTAAAAACATCTGACTAAAACAATTTCAGAGCTTCGGCCGCAGAAAGACGCATTCTGCGACCTGTTCTTGTGGTTAGAACATTGGTATTCAGTGCACTCAAAAACGAACTTAGAAAATGAACTGTTAAAAAAAATTTTAATGTTTTTTTTTTTCTCTCAAATTATCCACATGTAGTTTAGTTCAAGAAATGAAACTAAACGGATTTCGGCAGAGTGACTTTCCCTGAATAAGTTATTCATACCTCCAAACATTAGAAACTAGTACGAACGCGCGTGCGAAGCAAAATGTAAGAGATACACAATTGACGATGACACCGTTGTTTGGGCAGAACAGAACTTCTCAAACTACGCTCACAGCGTTGTTTGGGCCTTAAAGAGTTAAAGGAGTCAATACACCTTCCATCATGGATACTGGGAACTTGGACATTCCTATAACAGTCTGGTCACCATGCTAAGATTTGCCATAGATGCTTTTGAAAAGGGGAGGCTTTCATAGAATACCAGTGTTTAATTAAGAATTGATATCCCAGCACTCAAGGCATTCTCATATGTGCCGCGTCCCTCTCTTCAGCAGCAAGTGCACAGTCCCAGTACCAATGGTACCAATAGAAGTCTGATTTTATATCATAGAATACCAAACATAGCTTTTGTGACAGTCTCTATGCCTTTGATGTCACATACTTTTTACACATTAAAATCCATTTATATAGGTGAGTTCTTAGAGTCCAGACTCTTCATGGACCCTGTCTCATGTTATAGTATAATATTTATTTCTTGATTGAACCTATCAAAATTACCAGGTTTGTTGAATCATTAGGGACTGGTTATTAAAAGTATACAATATTGTCAATACATTAAAAGAGTTAACAGTCTTATATAAACATGATTGTTCTTGCTTTTTCAGATTGAAGCACTAGAAGAAGAAAGAATTGAAGACAAGAAGAGGATTAGAAAGCTTGCTCAGCAGTTAGGGCAAAGGTTGGGTCGTATCTATTTTTTTTTTCCCCAGCACATTTAAAGCAATTAATTGAAGTTTTATATCATGAACATCAAGCAGCCAGCAGAGCAGCCAGAGAAACATCAAACTGATTCAAGGTGCAAAAGGGAGGGAAGCAAGAGTTCATGCTATCACCCTACCTATTCAATATATATGTATGCAAAAAGCATAACGAGAACCACCAAAAATTACCTTTGAGCTGAAATACTAAAGAAACATTTTCAGAATACGGTGGACCAAGAACAAAAGAAAAACTCACACCCTAAAAGATCTGAACATCAAGAAAGATTAGCTAGTAAACAGCATCTTTCCCCGAAACTGAAATATTTTGGCCATACCAAATGCTGTGGTGGATAAGAAAGTATATTAGTGGAGGGCATGGTACCAGATGAGAACGAACGAACGAACGAACGAACTTTATTTTCAAAGGGTTACAAATTAGGCTCGCAGGCCTGTCTTACATTCGGCCCTTTCAAACTTCCATCTTTCACAACAGTTGTAAACCTAGAGAGGGACAGGGACTGACCAGCATGAAGATGGGGGACAGGACAAGAGACTCCTTAAGTAGAAAAGTACACTAGGTGGGAGAGCTGACAAGAGACAGTTTCTTTCAGGTGGGCTGTGGTGAGAACACTGTTCTGCAAAGGACCTGCTATATAATGATGATGATGATTTTCTGTTTATCATATTTAACTTCATTAATTGTGAAAGAAGTATCGAATGAGGTTATATGATTCAGTTTTAATTTATAGAGTAATAACCAAAAGGGGACACCTAATTTAACCTTTTTTTTTAAAAAAGAAATATATTTTGATATATTAGTACAAAACCTAGATAATCTTTTCTCAGAACACACTTTAATAAAAGTACTCTGTGATGTTCTATACAAGTTTATTTAAAGATGTTTTTTTTTTTCAGCTCTCAAGATGCTGAGAAGTAAACGTTATATTTCGTGTTTGATATTTTGTTGTTGTTATTTTTTATGTTTTTGTTTGGGTTTTGAAAAATTGATGTTGAAGAAAAATGTTAGTTTAAACATATTATTTTTCTTCTTCTTAAGCATTCCGAGCCCTTGAGGTTCATTGCTGCAGATATTACCCACCTCCATGTCTCTCTTGTTGTCTTTCTGTGACACAGTCGTCTCTGTTACGTCAACCCAGGTTCCTTCTTATTTGTCACAAGGGTGGCTGGTGATGTTTATAGACGAGGAGAAAGATGGTCGTGTCGTTAGTGGTGGTGATGATGATGTCTTGCTCGCTGCATGCTTCTCACGTGACTCTACTTGTATAGTGAAGTGTCTGGAAACATTTATTCTTGTCTATTGGTTCTTTATTATGATACTCCCACAAATGTCACAAAATACATCAAATCATATTCTGTATAATGCTGAATTATCTCTGTGGCAATTATCTCTGTGGCTAAGTACTCGTAGAATCGCGTTGTGTTCTTCTTCTTTATTTACTTTGTTAACTGGTTCTATTGTCTCTAACTGCCACCGGGCTCCTAGTGCAGGTTGGGCTAAAAGGTTTGTTATCTAATGTCTATCTACTTATCTATGCTCTCTTCCCTGCTTAACTGGCCGGTGCTTGTCTCTTGTCCTCCTCACTCCGTCCCTAGCCTGTCCCTCGTCTGTCCTTGTCTTTTCTCTGCCCGTCTCTTTCTTCTGCCTCAGTCTACCTCCGTCTGTGTCTTGTCCCTTCTCTGTGTCTATCCTCTGTCTCTATCCTCTGTCTAGCCCTTGGGTTCCGGGCAATCGTTTATAAAGGGGTTACTAGCCTGCTCCCAGGGGGCTCCTATCCCTCGTTGTTTTGCAGATTCTGCAGCGACCTTAGCTGGCCGGGACAGTGGAAAAATTTTAACTGTAAACTAATTGTTTTGTGCAGGACGGGGAGAGTCACATGATGTCTAGTCAGACGACTGGAAGTACGTGGGAAACAAGAGTAGGGACCTAGGGGGGATATAAGTGCTTGTTAAGCACAAGTTCTAACAATAAGGGTGAAGGCCACAAGGGGTCTTGTCGTGCAAACAGCACAACACTAAAAAGGGGGTAGGGGTACTGACTTTGTTACATTTCTTCTTACAGTTGGTGACACCAAGTGTTTGTAGGTCTGTGGATATTATCTCTCCATAGTGTTTTTTTGTCTGCCTCGTGGTGTACAGCCATTCGGCTCCCGTGTGTACACAGTTTTTATCTCTTTGGTTATATCAAAGGCCACGACGGATTGAAAAAAAGTATAGCAGAAGGCACGGTACCAGGAAGGAGGGCAGAGGCCGACTAACACAAAAATAGGCGCAGGATATAAGTGACTCCTTGAGTATGAAAGTACATGAGGCGGGAGAGCTGGCAAGAGACTGAGTGTCTTTCAGGCAGACATGATGAGAGCGACGTTCTGCAAAGGACCTGCTACATTATGATGATGATTGGTAAAACAAACACAAAAATATATTTTTTTGTGTGCGTTTGAAAGCAGGAGAAGGTTTTGGATAGTTTTGCATCAGGTAATCACAGTTTCAACACCACAGCAAATGAGTCACCCTATAGTTGCTCTGTTCATGTGCCAACAAGTCTGCACACCAATGCATATGATTGTCCCTTTTGTAATAACTGACACAGACTGTAGTCTCCTTAAAGTCAGTTGCATACACAAGCATTGAATGCTTGTCAGCCATTAAAAGTGCCAGCACAAGCAGTATGTCACTAGAAAGCAGGTCATCATCAGTGGTGGAAGCAGCAGTAACAACACATCAATAGTTGCACACACAAGAATTGTATAAAGCACCACTATTTCTGTGGCAACAGGCCACTTGCCATTATCTGAATCTGCAGTTACAGCACAAACCACATTCCGCACAGTTGAAAAGCACTCCAAAGGGCAGTTAGCCTGATGTGGTTTACAGCTAGGCTGTTACATCTGCACCTTTTGACCCAACACCAAACCTGACTTTGTCACCTTTTACAACGTGCTTGTTAAGGGGCAGTGGGCGTGTCTCCTCCCCCCCCCCTCCCCCAAACCCACCCTTTCCACAATGGAGCCCTAGAATCCACTTGGGGAAGACTTTTAGCTAAAAAAATTATGTTTTGCAAAGCATACAAAACAAAATAGGAATGGAAAACATTTGGATTTTGTGTTATATTTTTGTAGGATCTAAGTGCTATGCTGTCTGTAGATTTTTGGCATTGTTAAAAAATATAACTATGGTGGCATAATGGTTAGTTTACTTACCGACATTGATCCAGGGACAGTCTTTAGCAGTGATGGCCCCCGTGTGGGTTCTAGGGCCCCATTGTGGGAAGGGGGACAAGAATAGACCATTGCCCCCCCCCCCCACCCCCCCCCCCCCCCCCACACAACAAATATGTCGTAAAAGTTGACATAATTTGTGGTGTTTCTTTTAAAAGTCAGAGACATCTACTTGAGAGGCAAGGAGCAAGCAGTCAGCATACAAATAAACCAGAACTGTAAAAATAGATGTGCATGCAAAACTCAAGTTCTGAAAAGTGGATGAACAAACCAGAACTTCTATGGGTGTTTTTACAGTCGGTCTGAACACGAAGAAGAAGCTGAGGGGGGGGGGGGGGGGGGGGGGTGGGGGAAGATATTTTCTAATTAGCAAGACTTGTCATTATCTGACTACCTAAATTAGGTCCAGGGTTATGTTTAAAAATCTTCTGAAACAAGGATACATATATATATATATACAATTATTTTGTAGCTATTCTTATAAATTATAATTGGATCTGTTACAGAGCTGTATCTTTGGGTCTTACTGCTGAAGATCTGCTCTCAGTGCAGGACTACACTGATACTCTCAGAGTGAAACGACTCGGTGAGAAAGCACAGCAGTCTACTGCAGTACTCATACGAGAACAGGTTCAAAAAGAAGAGAAACTACTTATGGTAATGAATCTGTTGTTACTATCCCTGATGATTTCTTTAGCATCGTGATAAAATATTTATCTAAGTCAGATAGAATGCTGTTTCCAATATTAAATACTGTGTTTCGCAGCTTGTTCCCTGATCTATTCATATTCCGTACTTTTTTCAGGCAATAAATGTAGAACGAAAGATTGAACAAACAAACTTTATTTTCAGAGGGTCACAAATTGGGCACACAGGCCCTTCCAATCACCCATCTTTCGCACAGCAGTTGTGTTAGATTTTAGTAAGAGGGTTAGGAAGTTACCTACCAAGAAAAGACCCTTTCTTAAATGCTCTGATCCTGGCTTGTGATGTATATGAGAGGTTTCTGTCTGAAACAGTAGTGACAGTACTGGATCCAGAAGATGCATATAACAGGATTAGATCATGACGTTTTACTGTACACTTATGAATATGGAAGTCAGCCTCTGGATCATCAACTAGATTGCAGTGGTCTTGTATGAATGGGAAACTGCCTTTCGTCTACGCTCATGGAGATCTCAACCCTGTAGTATCACACCCGGCTTCCCACAGTGTTCTGCAATATCTCAGTGCTTTTCAGTGTGTACACATGCAGTTAGTGGCAGTGGGTAGTGGGAGAATTTCGACATTTGTTGACAGTGTTTTAGTCTACAGACAGGGGAGAAATATATAGAGTACTGCAGACTGCTGTAGACAAGACAGGTGAGTGTTGTGAGGAAAGTGGGTCTATCATTAACCCAGGAAAAGCAACAGTATTTTCATGTTGTTTAAATAATAGAATTGTTAGAGATGAGGTGCCGAACATCACAATAAATGGCAGTTACAAAGAGAGAGATAATTCACTAAAATATCTAGGAAATACTTTTGACAGGAGCATGTCTTTCAAAGACAATGTGGAAGAGGTAGTGGTGAAGATAAGGAAAGGACTCAGTGTGTTAAAGGTGATGGCATCAGTAAACATGGAACAGAGAATGCTCTATACACTTGCATTAACTAAATATTTTGGTGAGGAATATGGTTTGGGACTGCTAAAACTATCTTACACCCAGATAGAGAAGCTGAATGCATGCAGAAGGAAGCCATATGAGTCATTTTGGGATGTGCACGAGACATGCCAATTGTGTGCATGTGGCACATTCTTGTACTGCGTCTGTGTAGGAAGGATACACAATGTTGTAGACTAAAGTTTACCTTAAAGTCGCAACGATGAGGCCTTGAGGGATAGCAAGGGAAATTGGCTGAAAAGAGGTGGCTCTTGGATGGTAAAAGCTATAGTCACAATCAGAACTGTTTGTGCTACTGACAAGATAGTGTGTGGTGAAGATGGGTTATAGTGTCTCCCAGCAAAATAGACTTGCATAGAGTGATAGTTACCTTGGACCAAGGTTGCTGGGAAAGGATAGTTGGTGAAACAGAGACAGTGTAACAAGAGCTTATCAGTGAAAATTCACTACCTGGTGACACCATAATATCTGCATTTGGTCTGTAGTGAGAGGTAAGAAAAGTGGGTGGGGTTTTATTTCCAGGACGACTGGACACTGCTTGAAAACAGAGAGCCTTGCTAACAATATCACTGCATTTAATATGAGAATGGAGGCGGAGGCAGTAACGGCAGATTTCTGATAGCTTGAGAGCAGCACCGCTCATCATATTATAAAAGTAACAGAGTCTCATGCTTCTGAAAATTGAAGCAAAAAAAATAAAAAATAAGTGAAGGTGCTGAATTTCACCTTTTTTTCAATGTTTTCATTGTTTTATCAATGTTTTAACTGAAATGTGATTTGTTGTGCAAAGTGATTTGCATGTCTGTTATAAATCTTCATCAATAGGGCAAAGAATTTGAGAGAGACTTTAAAGAAAATGCTGTGGAACTCCATAAACTGGAAAAAGAGGTATTGCAGTTGAAAGCTCAGAACCAGCAGGTCATGAAGGACAATGCAAATCTGGAAGCAGGCTTTACGGAGGTGATGCAAGCCTTGAAAAATGTTAAAGCTGATGGGAAAGGTAAATAAGTTATACATAAAAAAAATGTATTACTCATAATTATTATTTACATAATTAACCCTCTTAGCACGGACAGGCCGATTATCGGCCGGCGGATGTCTGGCCAAAAACACGGAACGGCCGATGATCGGCCCGATCGTGTTTCGCCTCGAACAGCTAAGAAATCTTCTATTTTGAAACACTGAAAGTGATTCATTCATATTAACTGCTGTATTAGCCTTTACAAATGGCGAGTTTTGAGTGTTTTGTATCGAAGTGAAAATTTCTGTTGAATTTTTTAGATAGTGACCTGAACCGCTAAAAGTACGTCTGACTCGTATGTTTCTGCCCCTAAACTTGATGTTGATAAAACATTTGAATCAAGTGATTACACTAATTCTGTTGATACTGATGCAGGATTTAGTGTTAGTAGTAATAGTGGGAATCAGATGGGGACGCTGTTGTGTTCAGACCACAGCCCAACCATGGCTCAGGGTATATGCACCCGAAGGTGTTGACACTCCGGCACATCCATTTCTTGTGCTGACTGATGGTGAAAAACACATGTCACCTAAAGATATTATTGCTGTTTCATATATATATACCTGTTTCTGACTATTGAATTGCTTACAACATTTGCAAAAAAGGCCAAAGATCAATAAAAAGATTTAAAATAAAAAAAAATTTTGTTTTTAGTTTTATGTTTCAAGCATTGAAGTTGAAAATTCAAATTCAAATTTTATATTTTTAGATATGCAAATGAGATAATTTGCATATACATCAATTAATTTTAACGATATTGTGAAAATCATGAACTTCAATCTATATCCTTCAAATAGATATATGATTTCATGGGAGTCAGAATAACAGAAATCTGTCAAAAAAATTAAATAAAGTAATTAGCAAATTTACTGAAAAAATGCTCCGTGTTTTTGGCTAGACCTCTGAAAAACTTTCCGTGCTAAAAGGGTTAATAATTAATTAGTGCAGCATTAGATTACATAGAAATAGAATTCAGTTATTTTAGCTGACATTCAACACTCAGAGAAAAGACAAGACGAACATACAATTGTACTGTAACTAGTACTGTTAGAACTGGAACTCTACCCTTGTTGCTGAAGATGGGGATGTAGCGATTATGTGGATGTACCATGGGCTATGATGTTGGTTCATATTAACAGGAAATTTGAAGTTTTTATAGTTTACCATTTGCTGATAGGAGGAAGGAAATCTTGTCGAAATTCTCTGAAAACATAACTTTGGCAGTACTAGTATATTATGAGGGTATGAGTAAGTCTAGAACATTCAGAGGGCTGACTTTTAGTGTGGAGAACCTATGGCAGATCCCCAGCAAAGAAATAAAAGTTATAGTTTTTGAAATACTGATATTAAATGAGACAGTATGATGTCCCAGAAGCTAAAATATTATGGTCACATCAATCAGCACTGACAGAAAGAACAGTAATGGCATGCAGTATAGTGAAAATTTGCCTAATCATGTTCTTGACTTGTTATAATTTGTGTAGTATTATGAATTATATATTGTGAGAAAATATTAATGCTTTCAAATTTTTGCTTTAGATGTAACAGCTCCATCAGGGCAGTTTCCAACCATTGAAAAAATGTTGGCTGTGAGTTTTTTCTTTTAGTTTTTTTTTTAATTAAGTATAAATTTGATGTTCTCGTTGACAAACCAACAAACCTAAAATATTATAAATAATTTTTTAGCTTTGTAAACAGAAACAGATTGACCAGATTTTCTTTATTTTTTGACATCACATTTATTTTACCTATTTTTATGTCAAATATTATTATTATTATTATTATTATTATTATTATTATTTATTTACTTTAAAAGTACAGAAAAGATCCATTTTCCACACCTTCACTCATATTTGGGCATATAGGGCTAGACATATATCTATAGACCAGTCAGCAGTTGATGGGTGATGTGGTCAACTTCTCAGGACTTTACCTTGTACCCTTTTAAGGCTGGGTCAACCTGGGAGTGTCTTAGCTGCTACACGACGGTGGTTCACATTTCTTCAGTAGTTAGTATTATTAAATTTTTTGCTTAACAGTGTGACTCGCATTAGATACAAATTATTCAAATTATTGCCAGCCATTCTGTTTGCCTGACATTTTCCCAACACACCTTCATTTATGGAGAAAATATCCGAAGGGTTCCAATGACCCAAGATCTCTGAAGTCATGCTTGCCACTCTTTACAGAGCTTGCCTTTCTCCACCTTTTTCAACATACTTAGTGAGTCTTTTATGATCACAACATTTGTTTTGTGTATGTGGGTTGTTTTCAAGTAAGCAGATTTTGTGGTATCATATACCAGGCTTTGTTGCACCAAGCATTATACATTTACTTTTACAATAAATCTCCATGCACTTATTTTGACTCTCAATACAGACCCTATAGGTGAGAATGTTCCTGAATCTGCTGCACCCACTGGTCAGTCCTTGTACTTCTTGCCCAGTGTGACTGTAATCCTACATGAGTCTGATTGTTGCTCAGCCACTTTAATTCACTCCTGTCCTAGCCCAGTGGTGACAGAACAAGGTACCAGCTGAAGGCTACTTTAAGCCATGCAGAGAATGGAGAATGGTGGAGGCTCCAGTACGCCATTATTATGTCAGTGACTGATGGAAGGAGTAACTTCCGCTAGTAATAAATGAGATACTAAGAAAATAGTATAGTATCTTCTTCTTCTGAGCATTTACTGGCTGTAAACTCCGTCAGAAAGTTCTGGTTGTTTCTCCACCTCTGGACTCTAGTCTTGTTCCAGAACTTAAATTTTGCCCACACACATCCGTTTTACAGGTCTAGCTTACTTGTATGCAGACCTTTGGTGCCTTGTCTCTCAGGTTGATGCGCTCTGACATCGGAAGAAAATCCCGAACTATTTGCCCTTTGTGACGCATAATATGGAGGCATATATCCCCCTCTCCCCAAATGGGGCCCTGGAACCCACACCGGGAGCATTGTATCAAGGCATTCATACTGTCTCAAATCAGCACCCACTCAAGGCTAGGCCAATCTAAAAGTGAAGGTCACTTGTGAAAAGTCCAGCTCCATTTTAAATTGAATCTGTGACCTTCAGATCTGCGGGCAAGCCTCTAGCTGCTACACTACAGCGGCTCTGTTTTAAGGAATACACATACTAATTAGGGGTGCTGTATCATAAGCAGTCTGTACCCACAGGTCATTAATGCTGACTTTAAAGGTATGGCAAGCAAGCAGAGGTCGACATTTTGAGAACATGGTTATTCTGACAGCAGCATGCTGTTGTGAATCACAGGATGTTAAGGAAACTCTGGGTGTAAGAATGCATGAGCAGGGAAACCAGCAAATGGTCAGGAGGCTTCTTTTGTGTGTGTAGGTTGTAATGACAGTGATGTTTTGCTAAGGACCTACTTCTGACAGTAATGAGATAATAGTAAGAAACTGACTAAAGAATTTCTGTTAGAAACTGAAATTCTCGCCTAAGATAGACATTTAAAGAAACAAGTCACACAGTTTGCAGCAGCAAGCAGTGTGCCAGTAATATAATAGATAAAAGAAAGTAATAAATGGCAGTTACATTACTTCTTAAAAAGTAAATTGCATATCTTTTAGAGAATGTTGCACACCACGCCCAGTATTTGTTGACTGTGTATATTTGACCAGACAGTTTTTTTTTAATGTTCAGCAATTTACCATTGCATTCTCAATGAATGGTTCTTGACACCATTGTCAAAATTGATGCAAAGCAGTCTGCTGACAGATCACCTGCAGCTGGAATCAGACTAGGTCTCTCACAATTTCAGACTGCATTCGCAGCCCCTAGGCCACAGACACCAACTTGTGTTATTACTTGATGGTCTGTAATTTTCATTCTTTTTCACTTTTGTTGTCTTTCTTTTGTTTATATTTTTAATTTTGAAATGTCCAAACTTTATTCTTTTTCATTCAATAAAGGCAATTGAAGCAAAGAAAATTCTTGGCAACTATGATACAACTTACTACTTAAAAGAACAAGTTGATATTCTTAAAGGGAGGAATGAAGAATTGAAAAGTGCTTTGAGGGAGACTAGAATTGATGCCAGTAAAGCAACATTGGAAAGAGATAAGGCATTTGAAAAGGTAAAATGTTTGATTGCAGTGACTCTGAATATTTTATGAATATATATTTGACTTTAACAAGTCATGGTGTATCATTGTAACATATATTGTAACATGTATTGTTACATATAAAGTGGATTCCAGTTAATTGTCACACATCAGAAAAGGAGTAAAGCTACCTGGCCCATTTAAGTGCACACCATAGTTTAGCACATTTGTACCAGATTGATTGATCAACACATTAATATGAAATGAATATAAATCACAATCGGACATGAACAACTGAATGCTTTTTTTAAAATTGATGTCAGTAAAAATATCTAAACAAAATCTGAAACTAAAGGATATACATTATTTGAGGGTTCTTATTTTGAAAACAAATGGTCATATTTACCCTAATATGTTATCTTTATGGCCTGTGACTGAACAAAATCGGTGCTCTTTTCATCTTCTTCAGATCCATAGACTGGATCAAACATCGGCAATCCTTTACGTCATCTCATATTTTGATAAAGTTGGTCTGGCTTAGTTTATTTGTTGCCTTAATGTCTAAGCTTTTCACATACATCTTCTTTATCTTCTTTTACTTCTAAACCTATTATTTAACCTAAGACTACATTTTCTATCTTGGTGTGGTCATTGTGCCCAAAGTCCACGGTCATGCAGTCTGTTCTGAACAGTTTAATCAGAAACAAGACGTTCTGGAGGCAATGCCTCCTCAGTTGCAGAAGCTGTTGTAAACCTGTCTCTGAGCTAATGAAGCTGAATAAAGTGATTCTCCACTGCTGTTGTCACTCTGGGTCATCCATTGCGATGTCGATCTTCAGCCGAACTAGTGGCTAGGACTGGTACCAAGGTGGACTGTACTCTGATGCACCTGGCAAGCTGACTTTGACTTTCTCATATCTGCAATCAGTCAACAGCAATATTCCTTAAATTTATTGATAGAGGCGCCTTTTGTCACTGCTTGAAAATGAACTGAATGTTTTGGCGTAGCTTTATCCTTTTAAAGGGTTTCAGTTGAGTAAGCAGTGGATAGTGTTCACCCAAATTGTGTTGCTTTCTCGTGCACATATTGTAAGCTATGCTCACAATTATTGTCTTAAACACATACTCAAGTACAATATTTACAAACTAATAAAAAGCGCACCATCAAATAACTGCTTTTTTTTTTCTAACATTATACATCAATGTATTGTGGTTAATAATGCCAGAACTGTGCTAGTTGACAAGACTGCTCATATGTCTGATGTGCCTTTCATTCCTAGCTGTGCCAGTTTTTAAAGTCAGATCTCACATTTTTAGCAGCGATATGGGCGTATTGCCCTCAGTGTCCTCTCTCTCTCTAAAGAGCATTAACATATCGTTGTTATCCATCTGCAACTGGCAAAGCCAGCCAGTCTATCTACTCTTTCATTGTGTCAATATCCACATCCCCCCGGACAAAGAACTATCTCAATGCATGATGGACCTTTACAGTAACCCAATTTATTGCCCGTGTATGGAGCGAGCCTCATCTCACTGGATGAAACTCAAGAACAGTAGACAAACTTGGGAATAGCCCTGTGATTCTAGCCACATGAAAGTTTATGTCATCACCATCACCTAATACTGCTAACAGTCATAGAGGAGTCACCACTAGATATAGGCCCACATACTTCTGTGCCATCTTGGTTGTTTACACTGGAACTCAATCTGCCTTATGTATGTGTTACAGGGGAAATTTCACAGCAAACATGCAAGAAAAAAAAATAGTGTTCAATATGGCCAACAGAATCAAAAGATGAGCTTGGTGACACCATATATGGGCACTGTGAGGGCACACTACAAGGGTTTTGGAGACTATACTGCTGGCTTTCAGTATGCAGATAGTACTTGATAATATCACTGATTTGAAAGGCAAATATTGTGATGAATTAAGTTAGTCACCTCATGCTGATGTTGTGATATGATAAAGTATGTATTAAGGCTCTTACCTGATTTGATTTGATTTGATTCAAGAACTGACATCACAACACTCGGGGCATTCCCATAAGTGCTCTGTCCCCATCTTCAGCAGCCAGCGAAGAGTTCCGATACTAATAGCGCCAGTAGCATTCTGATTAAATGTCCGTCTTGCCTTTTCTCTGAGACTCGAGCATCTGCCAGAACCTCTCGTCACTCCGCCCTGCATCAGTCTCACCAGACTGTAGTGATCCATCTGCTCCTCCGAACTGTGCACGCTCTCTCACAAGGCAGTAACCATGTCTGCCTTATCATGCATCAGTATTGCACCAAGGTGGGCAGAGCTAGCAACTCTGTCCGCCTGTTCATTTCCCAACACACTGGTGTGCTCCGGTGAAAAAATAAAGACAATGCTCCTCACCCGTGTCCTCCGCAGCGAAGCATGCCACTCTGCATGAAGCTTGCCTGTCCTGATCTTCCTTAGCATGCTTCCTAAGTCAGTTACAATCACAATGTGTGTGCATCATGTTCTCTAACCAGCGGAAAGCTGCAGTGACTGCCTCCACCTCCATTCTTAAGCTGGATGTTGTGGTATCATATGCTAGGCTCTCCTGCACCAAACGTTGACAATTAACTTTTTCTAAGAAACCCAAGCACTTCTTTTGCCTCTTGACACTGAACTGTCTGTGTAAATGATCAAACCCTCTGAGCAAGCATTATATTGAATTAATTGCTGAATTTCCACCTCCGTGCACCTGCTGGCCAGTCTCTGCATTCCCGGCTCAGTGTGATTACGACCCTACAAAAGTCTGACTTTTCAGGTGGCACTTTGACCCACGCCTCTCCTTGCCTTATGTTCTCAAGGATGCAAACCTGTCTTATTTTGTCTTCTGCCTGAGCCATCCATGACTTCACTCTTATCAGCCGCTGACCCTTAACTGCACCCGGAGCTTCATGCAAACAGTGGTCTGTGTCTGCAGCTACCCTGAGATATGACTTCGCCTGCAGCACCTTGTGCCTACCTGCAACAGTCGGCAAGCCAAGGATGCATCACAATCACACCACTGGGTTATCTCTGGTGCAAGGCTATTACCCCTGTTAATCACCTTGATCTATCCTTTTATGAATTTTCTGTCCCCATCACTTGCATGTGACGTTTGAGAGTTACATAAACTAAAGCTTGCAATGTTAGAAATGCATTTTAAAATTATTTTGACATAGAAATATATTGTCAGGTTTTTGTGTGTTAATATTTCTTACAGATTGAGAAATTGGAGAAGGATCACTTCAGCCTACATGATTCTAATGCTGGAATAGGATTGTTCAGTGTAATGAAGCTGCCTGATGGGATGGTGCCATCAAGTTCTGAGGTTATTGGGAGCCTCACTGAACATTTAATAATTGTGTTACAGGTACAGGTATATGTATACTGACTTTTCTTATATTACATTTCTTGCAGTTTGTGGTTTTCTGCACACAAGCTGTTAGTATTAAACAGCAAACTTTAAACTTTACTTGTTCACACGCAAAACCAGTTTTGATGTTAGCATGAACAAAACACATTTTTTGATGCTTAATTCTATTCTGAATTAAAGTTTTATTAAAAATGCATTTTAAGAAACTTTTAAGAATTAGCAATAGAATTTAATATTAAGAGAAATTAAACAACTAGTGAATTTAATACTGGACATTATTTACTTAATATTGCAGTGTCTTAGTTAAACTATCTATGTTTACATATGTGCTGTCATTTGTAATTACATCTGAAATTGTAACATTACAACTACTTCAAAGGAATTATCACAACGTGAGGCCTTATTAAAGAATGTTGAGACTTCCCTAAACACATACAAGAGAAAGTATGCAGTTCTCCGTCATCAGCAAGGGTTATTGTATCAGGAGCACTTACAAGAGAAGAAGGTCAGATTTACACAAATGAAAATAAATACAGTATTAGGTGTCTTATTTTAATTGTAATAATATTTTAATACATAGGAAGTATTTTTTTATTTTCTGTTTCTTGCTGTTTTAAACGGTCAGTTCACCCATACTGTTGGGAAAATATTGAACAGCTGTAAGTAAAACCATGCATTTCTATTGTAATTGAAAATCAAATTCATGTCTATTTTAATTACCAATCAGTAAAAATTATGCTTATCTGTTTTAATTACCAATCAGCAAAAATCATGCTTATCTGTTTTAAATTCAAACTATTAAAAATCATTCTAACTTTGTCCTGATGATGATAAAATGTGTCTGTCTGCCTGCATTTCTTATATGAATGAATCTCTCAGTCTACATATGCCACTTTTTTAAATGTGCCTAACGTGATTCAAGAAGAACAAACATACTGGCATTTTATAAGACTTGAATATCAAAGACCAATTAAGAATCAACTGTTGGTCAAACATTCTTTGTCACTGTTCAAGTGGTTAGATGTAAATTAACTTTTATGTCAACCACACTGATTAGAAAACAAAAATTGTTTCTCCACATTCTGAATCTAACTGCATATTATCAATTTCTTTGCAGGTGACAGTCAACACACTGTGATAGGATGAATAAATATTGCAAATAGAGTAGAATATTAAATTCTAAAATGGACACACACAGTAATAAGGAAATATTCTGTAATGAGACTAAACCAACATTAAAAGGGAGCCAAATTCTTCTGTTTCTCTCACACAGTGAACTGACGCACATTTAAATATGCTGAAGTGTTAGCAGTATGCAAGGACAATCCTTATTTATGTAGACAGAAAGACATACTGGTTGGTTTACAACTTCTGTGGTAGAACATGCATTGAAACTATAGACTGTGTGATTTGATTATATGTTAAGAGTATTAACCTTTTTGATGTATTATTTGTTGATGTATTTATTTCATGTGCTATAATGAATCAGTAAATTGTAGAATACCACCGTGGGTTCCAGGCCCCAACTGGGGGAAGAACCAGACCAGACCCACTGCCTAATAAGCATGTCTTAAAAGTCAAATAACTGAGGCTTTCTTCAAATCGTACCCACTTGGATGGAAGAAACCAACAGTCTGCATGCAAATAAGCTAGATTTGTAAAATGGATATGCATACAACACTCAGGTTCTGAAACAAGACTAAAGTCCAGAAATGGACGAACAGCAAGCTTTCTACTAGAGTTTACAGCCAGTGAACATGCAGAAGAAGAAAAAAATTTTTGAACACAGAGATGTTTGAAAGTCTGTTGATTTAACATCAAGAAAAGATATAAAACCGAACAAAAAGTATATTAGCAAGCTTCACAGTATAACAAATACAAACAAAATGTGAACATTGTGGCTATGGAGCCTTCAACAGCACATACAAAAATCAAACAAGACCACACAAATACACAAAATCACTTAGCTGGTATCTTGAAGCAGCCGGGTCGATGACTTCTCAGCAGAGTGTTGTTGATTTAACAGAAAACAGATATGTTTGAAAAGCTATTACCTGTGGCTGACAGCTGAAAGAGGTATTTAAAAATCTGAAAGTGATGAAAATCTTTCAATGCAATATTTATATCTTATACATAAAAAAATTGAATAGAGGAATTCAAGTCCTTGGGAGCAATTTTCACATCCAAAGGAAAACTGGACAGAGAAATTAGCTTAAGATGCACCAAAGAAGCTAATCAAGTAATGGGGCAACTATCTCCCCTGTTGACACACAAGTATTAAAGTGAATCTTATCAGAACAATTTTTTGGCCAACGCTATGCTATTAATGCCAAACATGGACACTTACATCCTCTAATGAATGTAAAATTGTGACAACAGAGATGAAATGCCTTAGAAGAGCTGCAGGAGTTTCAAGGAAAGACAGAATACAAAATCACGAAATCAGATGTATACTAGGATTAAAGCCAGTCTTACAGGTCATCAAAGAACAACTAATGAAGTGGTTTGGACACCTAACAAGAATATCCTGGTACTACCTACCACAGCGAGCTACACTGAAACATTACAGCGGTCATAGAGCGAGCGCAAAACCTTGGAAAAATATGGGGTGATGGCATTAAGAACCATCCTTACAGGGATGAACATCAGTTTTAATAGTCCTCTTGATAGAGCTAATCAGAGAACATTACATCCCCCCCCTCCCCACCCCGACACTTCGCTGAGGTACAAGGTGGAAAAGAAGAAGATACATTTAAAAAAAATAATAAATGTGATCCTCTCTTATCACACATTCATATCAGTGCTTCTTTTTGTTGTTGTTGTCATTAACTGTTTTAGAAGTGGCAAGAGGAAATAAACAGATGTTCAAAGCATCTAAGTGAGATGCAGGGCCAGCGAGAGGAAGACATGGTTCATATTCAAGAGTTTAATGTGAGTGGAATTGATTATAATTTCTTTTATATAACAAAAAGAAAAAAGAAAAAAAAAATGTAATTTTTGTCTGTTTTAGTTAATAATTTGTTTATTGTAGTCAACAGTTGCTATTTTTGCAAAACTCAGGTAATTAATTGTTCAAACCATGGTGGTGTAGTTAAAGTATTCTCTGTTTTGAAAAATCTACATAAAATACTGAACTTAGTCGCTTGTGATTAGTTTTATGATATTTGCCTAAATTATTGCACGTCACCAGAAAGCAGTTGTCAGTAATTTTACATCTGCTTGTCTTCTTCTTCTTCACGTTCGGTTTTGTATGATCAGGTCAGACTATCAGGTGGGTTGCCTCTATGAACTCGCATGTCAGCTGCAGGTCCTGCATGGTTCCCCCTAGCTTGCTCTGCACACTTTGCTCTTGAGGCCAGGTGTCTTTTCGAAGTTGTAGGTAGAGTGGGCAGGTCTGCAGAATGTGCTCAGGCGTTTGTGGTCCTGTTTGTACAATCTTTATTTCATGCATATGAAATTTTGGTAGTTGAGCCTGCAGTGTCCTGTTCATAGGCGGAAAATAGTTGTATGTTGCTTTCTGTTGAGTTTGCTGATGGGGTCTTAAGGATGTTTACTGTTAGTAGATTTGCTTGTGATACTGGCAAACATGTTTGCTTTCACCAGTGATTGACGTATGATTTATTATAGGAAAAAAGACATGAAAGCATTACTATATAGTCTTTGGCAGCCACAAAAGCTCATTCTTGATTTCTCCCCTTTAATTTAGTGTTCTTTACAGGAAGCTGCAGAACTAACCCAAGCATTTTTAGCTGTTTGTGATTTCACTAGGCAGTTTTAAGTTCAGTAGTTTGAATTTGTCGGCTCTGTGGCTAAGTCGATGCGAACGCTTTGCTTCGTAATGCCGGGATGCCAGGTTCGATCCCAGCTACGGGCAATGTGCCTTGTGTTGGTTTCGACAGTGGTATCAAGAAAGCCGACCATCCAGAAAGCAATGGCAAACTACTGGATTTAAATTGCCTAGAGAAACCACACAACAGCCAGGGCTGTTAGGGTTGGTTCTGCAACGTCCTGTAAAGGATACGCAACTAAGTTTGAATTTGCTTTCTAAATCTCCACTCTCAAAATTGCCCTTAGCTGGGATCAAACCCGGCATCCTGGAAGTACAAAGCACGTTCACAATGCCTAATCCACAGTCACTGGCAGAAGCTCATTAACTGTTATTTGACATATGAATAGTACTATGTGACAACTGGAGCATGACAACTGGAAAGATCAGTGGGAAAAGGGGTAGAGACAGACCAAGAGAGATGATGCTGGATGGGCTGAAATGATGGCATGTTGGGATATCATCAAGAGAGCTGTTTCAGGCAACCAGGGATGGTGATCTTTGGAGACGCAAGAGCACCTATGCCGGTTGGCAGGGCACATGATGATAATGACAGTACTATAGCAGCTTATGCTGTCATGTTTCCATCATCTCCTTGTCTTTAAATCCCCTCAAAAGCTGGGATTTAAAAAAAAAATTATCCGGGTCGACCCAACCTAAAACGAGTACCTGATAGTATTCTGGGAAGTAAAGGCAGCTGGCATGTAATATTAATGACAGATTGCTATATAAAAATATAGGGCTAGTACCATATACCCAGCATGTGAAGCCGAGGAAAGTCCTTACTTATTCTCTTAGTGTAAGCCAAGTTTTGCTTGCTTCTGTTTATTTTTACTTATGTTTTCAATCAGATTTCTACATTTTATATTTTCGCAGCGTCTGATTGATACTCTTGCCCATGATGATGTAGAAGTAAGACACCGGTTGTCGGAAATGACAAGGAGAATTACTGTTCTTCGGGTGAATGAAAAAGCTTTGACAAGGAGGCATGCTATTATGGAAGAAGTTGAGACACAGCTTAGACGAGTAAGTATCAGATTACTATATAATTCTCAATAAATATTACTTTCTTCGTGTAAACATAATCTCCTGCATGCTTCCAAGCCCAAAAAATCAACACCATAATTTCTCTTGGACTGCCTCTGCCTCTTCTACCAGTGATCTTTCCAGTCGTCATGATATTTTCTAGTGCTCTTTTTCTCATCACATGACCAAAGAACTTTGTCTCCTTCTCATTATTGTATATAATGTTCTACTTTCATTAACCATTTCCAAGCAATCATTGTTAGTTTTTTCATTGTATATATTTGAGAATTACATGTGCTTAAGATTTAATTTATACATACTTCATTGATAAATATCTTGCCTTTGCCGGTTCAAGCCTGGTTGAGAAAGGAAGGTCAAGCATGGGGCCAGCTCCTTCACCCTGTAAAAATTATTTGCTTCAGAAACTTGCAGGTAACTATGCCATTCTGGTAAACACATGAGTCAAGTGGTATGCAGTGCACAAAGTGTTTGTATGATGGCTACAGAATAAATAGTAAGAATTTAAGAGAAGTGAAGAAATAAGAGTAAAATCTGCTCAACCGTTAGTATCAACAGTTACAAGATAGGGAAGATGGGGATGTATTAAACACATTCTGAGAACAGACGAACAGAACCTCACCAAACGAGCAGTGAAATGGGAAATATAGAAAAATGAGAGCATCCAAGAGAAACCCTAAGTTGAATGTTGATGAGAGAAGCCAAAGGTGCTTGACTGGATTTCCATCAATTATATCAAAGTAATTGCTCAGGATAGAACTTAGGAACAATGATATCAGGAAGAGAGTTGGCACTGAACCAATACTGAACTTTATAGGTAAAAAACAAATCAGATGGTTTGGCCATGGGACAAGATTAGCATGAGACACGGAACCACAGAAAGCAATGTTATACAGATACAGCGGTAACAGAGGTCGACCACGCAGAATGTGGACTGGAGAAATATCAGACACTAAAAAGTACTTTATACGAAGTGAACAGAGGGGCCCATTCGAGAGATCTCTTCCTATCCTGATGCCTAGAGGCATTCAAGGAGTAGAGATAAGAAGAAGAAGAACTTAATGGAGTGGAGAAATGGAGTGGAGAAAAAGAAAGGCAAGTACTATGTGACATATAATGGCACACACAGGACAGTGAATGAATGAATGAATACTTCATTAATACCATAGTTCTGATTAATGTGTGAAATTCTTATGCATCTGTTCATTTACAAAGACTATTTAAAAAGTTACATTTTAAGCAATGAATTTTTAATTAACATTTAGGAATGCAGCCATCTGCGCAAAGAAATAAATCAGATGGAGATTGCAGTGTCAGAAAGACTGGGTTATCTTCAGAGATACAAGGTAATTTGTTTAATTTGTGTTGAGATTTTTTTTTTAAACGTTGCTTACAACTTCATCTATGTCTGTCTGTGTGCCTGCCTGCCTGCCTGTCTGTCTGACTCTGTGTGTATGTGTGTGTGTGCATGTGTGCACCCACGTGTGTATGTTTATGTGTGTGGGGTGGGTGGGGTAAATATGTATGTATGTATGTGAGTATTGGTGGGCAGGTGGATGCATGCATGCTGTCAGGTTGGGATTTGATTTGATGTGATGTGTGGCAGATGCCCTCATGACGTCGAAAGAAACCCCTAATTAGTCTAATGACATGCTTGTTAGGAAGCCAGTGGGTCTTTTCTTTGTTTTCCTCTCAATTAACCCTGGAACCCGCGCAGGGAACTACAGCTGTCAGTCTGTTGCCATGTTGTAAATTTTTTCGCATTCTTTGCCTTAGTGTATCAAAATATTGTTGTGACCATCTGTACACTTAAAGTAGTTTGACCTGTGTTAGATAACAAATAATATATGTTTATTTTCTCCTTTGTTTTCAAAATATTGTTGTGACTGTCTGAACAGTTAAAGTAGTTTGACATATGTTAAATAACAAATAATATATGTTAAATTTCTCCTTCGTATCTTTGTAGGACATAGCAGCATTCAAAATTTCAGCTCTCCAAAGAGCTTTGCAGGATTCTGTACCAGCCTCAGATCTGGAAAAGGTTAATAAACAGTACCACAGTTTGACAGAAAAATATCGGGACATGCTTGAGAATGGAAATAACCTTGTCTCAAAAGCAGAACAACTAGAAGGGTTAAAGGTAGGTCGTTAGAAGTGAGAATCAGAAAGCATCAGTATGATATGGTTATCAAAAATGTATATGAACTAAGTAAAGTAAAAAGTAAAGGACCTTTTCCACGCCTTTAGGCATATATATAGGGCTAGACCTATCTTTTTATAGACCAACGGCACAAGATGGGTGATGTGGTCAGCATCATGCCGGCCGCCTCTACTTCCGGGGACTGCACCCGGTACCCACTCATGGCTGGGTCGACCTGGGAGCCAAGGTCATTTTTTTTAAGAAAAGTCCGGCTTCGCCAGGGAGCGAACCCACGACCTTCCAATCTGCAGCGCGCGTATATGGACTAAATGTAGTTAAATGTTATGAATTTATCTAATTGTTTCAGTTACCTGATTTTCTTTGCTTTTATTTTCCTGATCAGTGAATAAATTCCCAGCAAAATATATATCTTTGAAAGTATCGCTGTTTCTTTAGAATGAATGTTGAATTAAGAATCAACATCACAGCACTTGGGACATCCCCTTAAGTACTCCGTCCCAAACTTCAGCAGCAAGCGAAGAGTTCCAATTCTGATGGCACCAGTAACTGTCTGACTGTGTGTCTGTCTTGCCTTTCCTTTGAGTGTCAGCCAGATCCCCTGTTTCATTAGAACATAACAACTCTGTATATGTCTACTTTGGACATGTGTAAATATTACTCTAGATCTCTTCCTCTAAAACTGTATTGTTGTCTTGATATATTGTAGTTTTTCCCCTTCTCATTAAGTACCCAGCGAATGCTGATTGTCTTTCTCTAATGTGTTTTAAACAAATCTTTTTTGTTTTGAGTTTATTCTTTTGGCTAATAATCTTTAAAACCACATATCTGCAGCTTCCACACTGTTTTTCACTAATTTGTTGATTGTCTGAGATTTACTTTTTGATATCAGGCTGAAATATCAATAACTTTTTTATAGGCTGAAGTAAGTCAGTTGACAGAAAACAATATCAACTTGAAAAAAACTTTGGAAATGGAAAAAGAAAAATTACATTCTCTTGAAGCAGTAATGGAAGAAGTTCACAAAAAGGGTGAGTACTTTATTCTCTCATGCTAAAAAAAAAAAATTGCTTTCTATAAATGCGTGTCACTTTTTTAAAGTATTTTATAGTCTTGTTTAATGATGTGGTATAAAATTCATAAGCATGAGAGGAAATTAAAGTTGTAATGTTGAAAAAAAGGTTGCTTCAAACTCTGATGGAAACAGTCACAAGTTTGTTAGTTAGTTTGTTAGTTAGTTGGGTTATCATCATTGCACTCTGGTCATATCCATAGGTGCTCAGATCCTCCCCTCAGTGTGAACCCCAACAAGTCACAAGTTATGTAAATACATCAAACTTCACATGTTTAATAGGACACAACTGCTTTTATCCATACATAATGGATTATAATAATAAGGGCATAATTAAGAACAACTAAAAAGAAAGGAAATGTGTCTGTAATAGTGACCTAAACAATACTTTTAAAACTAGGACTCCTGAAAATATGCAAATGCTAAGAAGAAAGTTAGGAGATGGTTAAGGACAAATAAAACAAATTTGCTTTTCAGCTTAGTAGAAGAAGCAGCAGTAAACTTAGTAGAAGACAGCAGCAGTAAAAATGAAATTTTGGAGACCCTTTACAGCACTACAAGGATAAACACCAGTTAAAAAAACAGGGCTACTAGTTACCCTTGAAACTTGAAAAACCAAGGAGTTGCGTCTAGGGCTTTTAAATTGTTAAAACACCCTATAAATTGTAAAAAGGGACCAGAGTCATTGAAATTTTGCCCACCATTGATGGGAGAGTTGAAAATGAAATGAGTTCATTGAAGCCATTTGTTTGTTTTGTTGCAATGTGACTTTTTATTTTTTATTTTTATGTCTGGCATTTCCTGTAAGCTGCAAGCGGAACGCATAAGGCTGTCATACACAATATGCATAGTTATTTCTTGGAACAACATGTGCACTGTTTATGGTTTGTATTAGAGAACAGAGGGGTGTAGGCGCAACGTTATGTCAGTCAGGTTTCCCAGTTCTATTTTTGATGCTGCTCATTCGAATCTGTCTCTGACTAACTCAGTCTCTGTCTGTCTGTCTGTCTGTCTCCCTATTTTTTGAGCTTTTTATGTATATAAGGCATTTGATCATTGGTGTTCTCTCTATCTGCCTATCAGTCACACTTTGTCCTGGAAAGGAAGACATTCTCTAACAGTCTGGCACATTTTATACCAAACTTGACTCAGACAAGCAAGCTAGCCATTGACTGAAAGTCACACAAAGCCTGAATGCAATTTGTAAAATATTTTTTGCCAGCATGACACCTTTGAAACACTTCAGAATTGCTGCTACACAAATGCATTGCATGCAAAATTCTACATCGTTACCTCCATTTGAAAGACAGTTGAAAGATTTTTCTTTTCGTCTTGTAACAGCATTTTAGGCTCAGATTGTCTGTTTGCCACCTGGCCAACAGCAGACCTATTCAAGGACTGACAGATGGCATTATGATACTCTATGAAAATGATGGCCGAATAACAAATTGTTTACAACATCACATTTATCATTTATAGCATGCATTATTTTATAACATACATGTACGTATCTAAGAATTGGGCACTGTCAAATCATTCTATGATTCATATGTCTAATTAAGCACCATCTTATAATCAGTATTGTTCATTTTTAATGTCCAGTTTTTTCTAGTAAGTTTATTCTATACTTTATTCTTTGCTTTTTTATATACATCATAGGATATACCAGCAGTGCAGATGCCAACTTGTCAGATGGTCATATTATCTCAATCTCTAAGAAGATCACCATGTTAGAAATGAAAGAAATTAATGAACGACAACGTGCAGAACATGCAACACAGATGTATGAAAAGCAGAGACAGCTTTTACATGATTTGGAGAAGAGAAATAAAGAATTAGAAGAAAAATTTGCAGAAGTAAATATATTTTTTTTTTTTTGTTTTGTTTTAGTTAGTAGGAGTAATGAAAATTATTGATTGTGTCACCGTTTTTATGAAATGTGTATCGTTCCCAGCTGATGATATCTGGAATATATATTTCTTTTAGATTTGTGACTGATGATAAATTGAAATGTCCTAATTTAGTCTACTTTTTCTTTTTAATTTAATAAATTTTGAGATATATTAAAATTGTATGCTGCTGTTGTTTTCTGTCAGTACTGTTAAAAGCATAGAATTGTAATTATTGCAAACCTTCACAGCTCATTTGATTTTAAGTTTCTTCTAATTTGCAACTCTTGCTTGCTATGTAACTATACATAATATTTTGGACAGTTTAGATTTATATTCTTCACTATACTGAAGAAATAAAATACTGCCATAGATTGGTAGAAGCTACAAAAACCAAATTTAGTTTTTAGGGCATACTTAAGTTATACATGAACTTTTAGTTGCTGTTTTGTTAAAACAAGATTACACTGTCTACTTTGATCTTTTTCACTTTGTAGCAGGGATTTTGATAGAGGATTTATTTACACACATTTATCTTGTTTAGATAATGCTTTTCATAGATTGCCCAATAGTTTTATTGTTGACTATATGTTTAAAAATCCTGTGTGATATCTCCATATCAGTAGTTGCCTTTTTCAAGACCTACAAGAACTTCCTTCTATCCTTAAAAATTGTTAGCAGTTTTTTTTCCTTCAAATTTCAGATAACAAATTATATGTGCTGCATCAGAAAGCTGTAAGGGAGGATTATAAATGTATTCTATATTTTGAAGGTATCAGAAAACACGGTGAAGAAATGAATATTAAGATGGAGCCGCATAAAATTAAGAGTGTTTTTTGCTCATTTGACAGATGCATTACATATAATTTTATTCATCATATTCCTGTTAAATGGTTGTTTCTTGGGCTATTCTGCATTTCACTTCTTTAATAGATTTTTCCATCTGCTGTTATCAGGGTACCAAGAGACTTGAGAACATTGATTTACTTTAGATGAGCCCCATTTACTTTGATATTATAGTGAGGAGGGTATTTTATTACTTTGTAATTACCATTTTTTCTGTTCTTTTCTGTGTTCAGAATGTTGCTTTTTTTTAAACTATAAAGTATTCAATTGGTAAAGTCTTTGTTTTTGCAAATCAATTATGTAACAGTGTTTTATGTCTATGGATACATGGTCTAAGGTTTTAGATGTTGTATATTGGATGGTTATAATAATTCTGCCAATTTTACTCAGTTTAATTCTTTATGAAATTATCATTTGTATTCTAAATCAGTAGTTAAGAAATGCTGTTTTCTTTATACAGGTGACAAAGCTAAATCTTGAAATGCAAAAGGTTGAAAGAGAACTTCGAGATGAATTAAGCAGTGAGTTTATTTTGTGTATGTATGTGTGTGGGTTTTTTTTTTTTAAATACAACATAGGCTTACAATTTTGGCTTAAACAATAAAAAGACAGAAGTAATGATAATGTAGAGGAAACGGTTCAAGTCTGCCTATACAGTTAAAGTTAATATCACCAGCACCAAGAACTTCTGAATCATTTGTAAAGAACCTGGCACTTCTCTCCTATTCTAATGATGTTCCTGTAAAGAAGTGAGTCCTTTTTTTTACTGGGTCTTGCTCTCTCTCTCTCTCTCCCCCCTCTCTCTCTTGATCTCTCTCTCCCTCTCTCTCTTGTTCTCTCTCTCCCTCTCTCTCTCTCTCTAACTCTCTCTCTCACTCTCTCTCCCTCTCTCTCGTTCTCTCTCTCTCAGATTGTTATATAGGGGTCAGTAATGTAGGATAGACGAGGCAGTCTATCTTCCAATAACGATCACACCACTCCGAATCATAGTCAACGATAACCATGAACAGTTTAAGATTTATTCCATCTCTTTTATACAAAAAGAATAAATACGACAATCTAACTTACGTTATTCTGAGAAGGATCACTTGCTGTCACGTGTGGATACACAGTTACGCCACTGACCTGCATGCAGTCAGCACCAGCCACAGTTAATCGGACAATGTCATTGTCCTCAGATATTATTCAACATAGTTTCACCACAGGCACTTTGCAGCCATACAGAAATCAAGTTCTACTTCATTTCAACTTGAACACACTTTCATTCCGAACACTCTTTTTCCTTCCGAACTCTTTGGGGTCCATTTGCAGAATGACCACTTCGTTAGCAATCCCCAATATCTCCCATTTCCACGTAAATTCACCAATCCCATGAAACCCATGACTCTTACTTTAGGGACTTCCCCATTTCTGTCAATCAGTCATTTCCCCATGAAACCCATGACTCTCACTTTAGGGACTTCCCCAGTTCTGTCAGTCAGCCATTTCCCCATGAAACCCATAACTCTCACTTTAGGGACTTCCCCAGTTCTGTCAATCAGTCATTTCCCCAAGAAACCCATGACTTTCACTTTAGGGACTTCCCCAGTTCTGTCAATCAGCCATTTCCCCATGAAACCCATGACTCTCACTTTAGGGATTTCCCCAGTTCTGTCAATCAGTCATTTCCCAATGAAACCCATGACTTTCACTTTAGGGACTTCCCCAGTTCTGTCAATAAGCCATTTTCCCTATGAAACCCATGACTCACTTTAGGGACTTCCCCAGTTCTGTCAGTCAGTCATTTCCCCATAAAACCCATGACTCTCACTTTGGGACTTCCCCAGTTCTGTCAATCAGTCATGCTCAGACGTTATCCCTATTTAACCTCATTTAAAATTTCCTTGAACAGAGTGTGGTATTTTGCATTATGGAACACTGAAGAAGTATAAAAAAGGTAAAAATCTCATATGCTTTATGTCAAAGCAAGCGGTGCTTTTATGCTTAACAGACCAGTAGAAAGATCATTTCACACAGCCCGGCTCGCTAGCGTAGTTGGTTAAACCAGATTGTGCGGTGACCGGGTGACGAACTCCTTGTGGTCCCGGTTCACGCCCCGGGGTAGGCAGAAAAGCCACATTTCTCCCAGATTTACGGTATTTATCATGGAATCAAGGCCGAAGGGTTGCGATATCCATAATACCAAGCCTAAGGGTTAACTTCTTCTTCTTCTTCTTCTTCTTCTGCGTTCTACATCAGTCATGCTAAACATTGAGTCCCGTCTGGGTCACAAATAGGATTGTGCGTTTAAGGTCGCCACCGGTCCCCCATAGCTTCTCTTGCAATGTGGCTCTCTTGGGCCAGATCCACAGTCTTTGCTGGGAGAGGTTAGGGCAATACTGTAGTATGCGGTCAGGGGTCTGTCTTTCTGCTCCACAATCACAGGCAGCAGATTCTTTTATGCCTATCCTGTACAAGTGTGCTCGAAGACCACAGTGTCCTGTCCAAAGTCTAAAAATTGATGTTTGTTCTTTCCTGTGAGTTTGTTTATGCTGTCACTCTCTGGTCTGTAATCTCCATTCTGCCTTGTCCACTCCTGCTTGAAAGACTGCTTTAGCGCTGTTTTGGTTTCCTTGTAGCTGTGTGGTGGATGAGGTTGTGGAAAATCACTCCCAGCTTTTGCCAGCTCATCTACTCTCTCATTTCCTTGAATACCACAGTGGGCTGGTATCCACTGCAAGACCAGTTCTGCTTCCTTGGAGAGTAAGCCAATGTTGGTCCTTAGATCTGCAATTAGTTTGTCTTGTTTTTTGCTGGATAGTGCTTGGAGAACAGTCAATGAGTCACTAAGTATAACAATTTGGTGCCCTCTGTGTTCTTGAGTGAGGAGATGTTGGACTGCAGAGAGGAGGGCAGTTGCCTCAGCTCTGAAGTTAGTGCAGATGTCACCTGCTGGTAGAGAGATAGTTTCTGCTCTACTGCTAGGGGGTTTAATGTAAATTCCATAACCCCCCTTTCTGACTGCATCTGTCGGTGAAAACCTGAGTCCAAGTGGTGTTTGGATACTTCTCATCAAGCATAGCAAGAGCCAGGGTTCTCTGTTATGTCTCCGTCTGGGCATCTTTTGAAGTGATTCCTGGTACCTTTAGGACTACATTTTCTTTCTCTGGCTTGCTTGTCCATGGTTCTGGCCTAAGTTTTTCGCACAGTGCAACATCTCTTTCAAGCAGATCTTGGTGCTGTCTGTACAGTTCTCTGTCAAGGTGGTTGGGGCTCTGACGCTTCAGTCTGTTTTTTGTTCTCTCTTGAAATTTAAAATGTAGTGGGTGACTTTGAAGTCTTTTTAATTTCTCATACTGTAAAAGAGTTTTGTATTGTCTTCTGAGTTCCAGTGGTTCAGTATCTGCTATCCTTTCTATCTCTCTGATGGGGGTGGTCTTCATGGCTCCAAGAACAATACTTAATCCCATATTCTGAACCTTGTCCAGTTTTCCCAGTGTTGTCTTGGCTGCTGCAGCCCATGCAGTGGAGGCATATTCCATGTCTGGCATGACTGCTCCAGTATATACTTGTTTTAGGATTCTAGAGTTAGCGCCCCATGTGGTACCCGCTAATTTTTTCAGCGCTGCAAGCTTCTTGAATGCTTTTCCCTGTACTGCTTCTACATGTGACTTCCAAGTTAGTCGCAAATCAAGTGTAACGCCCAGAAAGGTAGGAAAGTCAGTCTGTGGAATGAGCTGGTTTTTTTAATCCAAATTTCGATTTTTTCTTTTTTGGGGGAGAGAGAGAAAAGTGATGCTGTGCTTTTTGAATTATTTAGCTTTAGACCCATTTTTCGGTCCAGGCTTCTACATTTTCCACAGTTTTCTGTAACAGATATGAGGCTGTGGTAGTGTATTCGGAAGCTGTCCAAACTGCAAAGTCATTAGCATGTCGGGTATTAGAAACTTGCTGGTGACAGGTTGCTGTGATATCATTTATGTAAACTAGGAACACAGTTGGTGCTATCGCACTGCCCTGGGGAACTCCTTCTCTTAGTTTTGCCAGTTTGCTGATGTGTCCATCAATTCTGAATCTGGCTCTGCATTGGAAAAGAAAGTCTTTGATCCACTTGTACATGTTGTGCACAACTCCTGCCTGTAGCAGTTTTAGTTGTAGGCCTTCTTTCCAAACTGTATCAAAAGCACGAGAGAGGTCAAAGAAGACAGCAAGAACTTTCTTTTTTTTCCTGGAAGGCATTCTCGATTTCCTGTGTCAGATATGTCAACTGGTCCTCTGTATTTCTGTGCTGTTTGTATCCTGTCTGCGTGGTGGTGATTATCGAGTTTGTCTCCAAGAACCATATTAGTCTTTCATTTTCTCATTTCTCCATCAATTTTCCTACACAATTAAGAAGGCTAATGGGTCTGTAGTTTTTTGGGTCTCTTCTGTCTCCGCCCTTTAGTAAGGATAGGCTGGATAAGGGCTTCCTTCAAGGCTGACGGTACTACCCCTTTTTGCCAGCTCTGGTTGTAAATGCAGAGGAGAAACTTCTTGGCAGCAGGTCCAAGATGAGAGAGAAATTCATTTGTAATGCCGTCAGCCCCTGGGGCTTTCTTCATTTTCAACTCCAATAAGGGTTAACAACTCATGGCTTCTGGATACTAAAAAAAAAAAAAAAAAAAGAAATCATTTCACACAGCAGAAGGGGTCAAACAGGGCAGCCTCCTCTCCCCAGTATTGTTTAATATCTTCTTATAGTCTGTGTTGTGTCCTGTTGATAGTCATGTCTCATGTAATTCTAATCATTTTTGACACAGATGGTCTTTTATGCAACAATTTCATACTGTCCAGCATCTTCTCTCTTGGTCTCCCTCTCACTCTTTTCCCCTCTAATTTTTCCACCCTCTTAATATACTCTAGTTTTCTCTTCCTGATGGCATGACAGAAAAGTGTGTACCATCTCCCTCTGATGTGGGTTCTCTTTGTGACTTAATTTCTTTCAGAACATCTTCATTACTCTTTTTATCTGTCCATGATGTTGTTATCGCTCATCTATAAAGCCACGTCTCTGCTGTTTCCACATAATTTTTCACTAATCTACTAACTGTGATGAGTCACTTCAGTATGTCAGGATTGGGTCTATGCAGCTCTTGAGAACTGTTCCTCACCCCAGTATTGTTGAATGTCTTCCTAGAAATAATAACTGATGCCCTAAGATTTTCACATCATTTGACAAAAATATCTACTAAATATTGAATGGAAACAAATGCATAGAAGACTAAAGTAATGACAAATAATCCAGCTGGTATTAATACTCTATACATCAGAGGTCAAATATTAGAACAGATGAATCATTTTAAATATCTAGGATCCATTTTAAGTGACCTAGTTGAAATCAGAAATCATGTCAAGAACTGCCCAGACAGCTGTAGTCCTGCTAAATAGCATTATAGAGATATACAGACATCTCATTAAAACAAAACAAAAAATACAATCGCTTAGAGCACTAGCTATCAGAACATTTGCATACGGTTGTGAAACATGCACCTTAAGCTTTTCACTTTGTGACAAATCTGGAAAAAAAAAAAAAAAAAAAAAGAAACACCTTGTTATAATTCTCTGAGACTCTACTCTAAGAAACTAGAGGAAGAGAAGAAGAAGCAGGCAAAATGTTTAGTCTTGTTCATTTTTATAAAGATCCAGGGAGTTTAGACCTGTGGTCATCAAGTAAACAGGCTAGTCTGCTGGCTGTTGCATTATCGCGGCCCACAAATCACTAAAAAGATGGATTTTTCATTTTTAAACTCACTAATTTGTGCCAAGATGATTTTTTTTTATATATGAAGGGAAAAATCATTAAATACAGGGGAGCAAAGAAATAACTGCTTTCTTTCCCTTTGACTAAGAAAACAAGGATTTTGTTGAGACAACCACAGAGAGAAAATTGGTGCCATCATAAGTTTATTATGATGTCACAGTGACCAGAAAAATATATATATATGTGCACCAAAATTCAAATATAATCATACTTACAGTGACTACAAACTATGCAGCTGCAATCATTACCAAAAGCTGTTGTTTATGCATATTGGTCACTACTGCCCAAAAACAGGTCATCAAAAACCTGTGAAAACCGGTTTTTTCAGGGTGCCAGAGTTAACATCTGAATCTGAAAAAAAATATTCAAGCATTGGAAATGGATGTTATCAAATGATCCTTGGTGCAACAAACAGAGACCCCATTACAAATGTTGAAATTCACCATATCATCATAGCAGACTGGGAACTATGAACCTCTTTTAACAAGGGTGACAAGACAGAAATGCAATGGTGCAGGTGTACAAGATCTACAAGCCTCTCCAAAATGACACTACAAGGCTCAGTAAAGAAGAAAAGGCTGACCAAGAAATACTTGGAGGAGACAGAATTTGTCTGACTGGATGGGCCTCATGTATGCAAACAAGTGCACTGCTTCTGACTGGCAGAGATGGAGGAGATTGATCAGGCAGTCAACATGGATGGGCCTCATGTATGCAAACATCAAGTCCACTGCTTCTGACTGACAGAGGTGGAGGAGATTGATCAGGCAGTCAACAGCAATTGGTGGCCCAGTGATGTGCTGTTTTATAGGACTATGATGTTGATGATGATATTAATGTATGGCAGGTACTTTAGCCCAAGCTAAAGAGGTTCTTCAGTAGTACTTCCTGCAGGTGGGTCTCCCCTGCATCAAACTTTTATTTTAGAATTCTAATTATTAATTTGCTGTATACTAGTTATATGTTGAATTAAGAATCGACATCACATCACTCGGGACACTCCCAAAAGTGCTCAGCCCCTATCTTCAGCAGCAAGCAAAGAGTTCTGATTCGGATGGTACCAGTAACCGTTTGATTGTATATTCGTCTCATCCTTCCCCTGAGTGTTGAGCGTCAGCCAGATCCCCTGCTAACTTCTCGCAGGGCCATTCTCTTTCGACCGTAATGATCTATCTGCGCCTCCGCACTGTTTACTCGCTCACAAAGGGCCCTAACAATATCTAAATTGTCATACATCAATTCACCGCCAAGTGGTGCAGAGCCAGCCAGTATATCTGGCTGCTCATTCCCCAACACCGGCATAACCTAGAGAAAATATTCAAAGGATGCTAACTACCCGGGACCCCTGAAGTGATGCTTGCCACTCTGCATGAAGCATTCGTGTCATATTTTTAAAATTATATTAGTTATATATGTGTTTGATATCCGCTTGATACAATATCTATGAGCTAATTTGTGAAAAATTGTACTTATTGAAATGTATATAAATACAAATGCCGATGCACAATATTTTCTTACCATAGTTCTTAGAACCGATTACTTTGCATGTATTGTTATTTTTCTTTAGATTCTGTACCACAAAGTGTCAGTTCTGCAGACAGAAAGAGAATAGCTGATCTGGAAATGACAGAGCTGTCTCTTAAGCAGGAAGTCTCTAAATTAAAGGTAATAGTGGATAATTTACATATTTAAATAAATTTAATATTTGTTGATGGAGTAGCCTTGATAAAATTCACTACATTAAGCAATGACACATTTGAGGCTTTATTATTCAGATTGCTATGTTACTAATACTTCTGTTATGAACAAATTAATTTTTTTTTTAAAACTAGCAACACCTTTTTAGATTAAGAGAATAGGGAAATCAACTAAATCCTGTATCCACGGCAGATCATCAAAATATTAAACTCTTTCAGGACGACATTATTTATGGGGTTTAGACAGCATTAATTTTGAGCTGAAGGTTTTTTTATACTGCAACATGACAAAGCTAAAACCTTCCTAAAGAAAAGTTACTGGTTGTATAGAGACATTTTGTGTGTCAAATTAAAGAGAACTGAATGCAGAATAAATCTAAACTAATCAAGTATTAGCATTGCAACAACAAAATTGTTTACATCACACAACATTAAAGAATGTTAAACATATATTAAGATTATATAAGCATGAAATGTTATGCTTACCTTTCTTTTAACTTGTTCAGCAACACTGCTATCTATTTCTAGGAGTTCACATACCTTCTTAATTTAAGTATGCATCAGCTAGTCTTTATTTGAAACAATTAATTTAAATACTTTTTGATTTTATGACCATTTTTGTAGGACTTGTCACATTTCACAACAGCCCAAATTAGGGAAAACAGTTGATCGAAGCAGGGATGATCCAGTTGAAATATTTTGTTCAGCTTCATTCTTACCTATATTATTGGCAATAGGTTTGTCACTTGCATTATCAGTCATAATATCAAGACTGTTGTCACTATCTGGTTGAGATTCTTCAACGACAGAGCAGTATGAACAGTTCTAGGCCGTTTACCCTATCATTTGGTCTGGAAAAATCACATAAAAATTTTATCACACTCAATTCATTAAAAACAAATCATTTAGTAATCCAAAGACCACGCCAGACTTTGAAAACGAAATGATTTCGTTTCAATAATTCTAGTTTTTTTCAAAACATAGTCATAGAAATGCATTTTCACAGCAAACGAAGCAATATTAGAGTATCTGTAAGGATCCATTTTAGTGATGTTCCATCTGAACATGATGGATTCAAAAGCCACTTCAGTGATGTTCCATCTGTAAAGAGTTAAGTGTATTTAATTCTATCTTTAGTACAATTTGATTGTTCCAGTTACCTCAGCGATACTTTGTGGTGAGAAGTAATGATATTCTGTGTGCTGTTTCTAATGTTCTATGTAATTTAGTCTTCAGTCTTCTAAGGAAGTTTTCGATGCAGTCACTTCATCGTGTGCATGGTCCTCTTCCTATTCTTTGCTGATTATATTTATTAACTTGTTTGTAACAGTTGGTACCAGGGCATTTTTGCAGTATTCAGACTATTTCACCTTTTATTCTTTAATAAATTTCATGACTGATTCAGTTGCTGACAATGTTATCTCTGTTATTCTAAAAGATCTTCTAAGCAATCTTTTAGGATATTGCACTCATTAGGTTTGATATTGTAGCACAGTGACAGCAACATTTTTTTTGCTGATTGACAGATTATCTTTCTGTATAATTGTGATAAAATATAATTGTGTACTTCATAGGAAATGGCCGATATTGCAGCAACACAAGTTAGAACACTCACAAGTCAGCACATTTCTCATGAGAAGGAGTGTCAGTCACTTCGTCAGCAGCTGCTAGATTTCCAAGCACAGAGTGATGATAAAACAGTAATAGGTTAGTACCTATTTTTTCTTGGACTTTTATGCCCTGGCACTAAAAGTTACACACATTAGTCGAAGTTGAGGCATATGCTAAAGCTTATTACTCTTGTTTTATTAAAACTACAAATATATTATTATTACTGTTTTTGCTCCTTCATTTTGTTATTTGTTCCACACCTTTTCATCTTCCTATATTTTATAGTTATTTGTGTGACACTTGTGTTCAATCATTTATTTGCCCGGCTCTCTAGCGTAGTTGGCTAAACCGGATTGCGAGGAGACCGGGTGACAAACTCCTTGTGGTCCGGGTTCAATCTCGGGGGTAGGCAGGAAAGCCACATTTATCCCAGATTTACGGTATTTACAATGGAATCAAGGCCGACAGGTTGCGATATCCATAATACCGAGCCTAAGGGTTAACAACTCATGGCTTCTGGATACTAAAACAAACAATCATTTATTTTGGTCAGCTGTCATGCTACTAGGCAATAATGATTCCATCTTAAAGAGCTCAGGTTGCATGATTGTTGATAGGTAGTTGTGTTTCTTGAGATAAAGCTAACTTTAAAAGTACTGTTAAGCTTAATACATTGTTGAAATTTTTATATCATAATCATCATCAAGTGCCTTGCCAGATGGCGTAGGCGGTTCATGTGTCGTCACAGATCTCAGTCTTTGGTGTTCTGCATCAATTCTACTGATGATATTCCTCCATGCCACTGTCTTAAGCCATGGACCATCATTTCTCTTGGTCTGCCTCTGTCTCTTTTACCAGTGATCTTTCCAGTTGTAAGAGTATTTTCCAGTGCTCCTTTTCTCATTACATGACCAAAGAATTGTGTTTGTCTCCTTCTCCTTGTTGTATATAATATTCTACTTTCATTGACCATTTCCAGACATTCAGTGTTGGTTATTCTGGCAGTCCAAGGTATTCTCAACATTCTTCTCAAGAGCCACATCTAAGTTGCCTCCAAACTCTATACTATACTAAATATACTATTAAATAATAAAAAATTAAGCAAAATAAAAAGAAACATATAGTTATCTAATGGCACGTTATTATTAGTTGACATGAAAGCCTGTACGGCTAAAATCTATAAATGACCCAGATGCAAAACAATTTTCAGTTGATTGGTAGAACCCTAAGGTATTCTTACGTACAATTTGAACAGTTTCACTTGTTAAATTACAAATATTTTGAATGTTAAAATTTCTTATCCTTTCATTAGCTATGCATTTTTTTTCAGTGTTATAATTGTTATAATTTAATGCTGCTTTAGATAAGTATTCTGGAGTAGTGTTTTTTACAGTTAATTAGCCTTCAGCTTCAATAAAGTAAGTTGTATCGGTACACGTTTCTCCATTCTGTAATTAAATTATTTATCTTAGTTTATCTGGACACCTAGAGACGTAGGGAACATTTACAACATACTGTTGATGACTTTGTTGAACTTATTTAGGTAAACTTCATCGGCACATAGTACAGTTGCAGGTGAGTGAAGGTACTGCATTAAAACGTCTGGAAGAAGCTCAGACAAAATTAGCCAAGTTGGAAGGGCAAGTTCTGCGCATGGAGCAAAGGCTGGATGACAAAAATGAAGCAGTTTACCATGTTCAGCAAGAAGCTCACAGCAAATCGAAATATCTCAGGAGAGCTTTGCAGGTTAGTGCCTGGAAAAATAATATTCAAGAAAGTATGCAAATGAAATAAATTATGTAGCTATAAAATCAAGTCACAAATTTTCACTTCTAATTGTTAGTTAAATTGCAACATATGCCAGTGAAAGTAGTAGAAGCACCAAAGACATGGAGTGGAAGTTAAATGTATTTGAAAATAAATGCTTGAGAACATTTATGAATATTAGTTCGGATGAATCCCTTATCTCTTAAACTGTTAGATCTATTTGTTTATTACCTCACACTCCAGAACAGCATGATATATGTATTTTATTCATTGTAAGTTCTTTGAAGTCGGAGTGCATCTGCCTGATAGGCAAGGAACCAGCAGTCTGCATACAAATGAGATAGATCTGTAAAACGGATGCACACGCAACACTCAGGTTCTGGAACGGGACTGCATTCCAGAAGTGGATGAACAACCAAAACTTTCCACCAGGGTTTATAGCTGGTCAGCGAAGAAAAAAAAGAAGAAGAAGTCCTTGTAAGAAGTAAGTTGATACTGTCCAGAATGTGCAGGATGCCAAGGAATGAAAGAGCAGATTCTCTGGCTACAAAACTGATAGCTGCTGGAAACAAGTTAGGTAAATACATGAAAATTATAACAATGAAAAATTAAAAAAAAATAGAATAATGAAATGCCAAATATTGATCCTTGAAGGACTGAAAGTGACGCAAATATGAATTAAGTGATATTCCATGGATAAGCGACTGGTTTGATCTCTAGGGCAAGACTTTATAGCAGTAACTGAGCTCTCAGTTTTGCCTTGATCGAACTATTAGTTTTGGGGGGAGACTGGTTTAGGAGCTGCATTGTGAATATCAATAAACTGTTCATGCAAACAGCTAACTTCCTAATAAACATTTTCAGCTGTCCTCTATTTCTTCTTGCAGGAACTTCGGATCCAGTTTGCTGGAGCTGTGCCACTTTCCAAACAAGAGAAATTTTCCAAGGCATTGATTCAGTTACACATCAACAAAGAGAAATGTGAATCTCAGTTAAAAGAAGTATGTTTTAAGTTTTTATAAATAATTCCTTTTGGCTTTAAAAAAATACACTTTATGTTATCTGATTCTGTAGCTAATTCTTGTAGTGCCCTGGCTGGAATTGTTTATGCAACCTGAGCAGTCTGGCATGTATATGTTCTACTTTTGCATAATGTTCATAATGTTGGTGTTTCTTACAGAAATATTTGAATGTTAAAATATAATAAGGTTGTAAAAAATATCCACATCTGGATTTAAGTTTCCCCACTTTCCTGTGTCTCTGATGATATATTTTCTTATTATTGTAGTGCTATAGTTTTGTAATTAACCCATTTATAAACCCTGAATTGTAAGAAAACAGTGATGGCACACATACTGACTTCTGTTTTCACATATTTTGTAAGGGGTATTTTTAAAGAACAGTCACTGGACCCAAATCAATCTCTGTTGAACTTAAAACAATAGGCTTTCACTGCTAAAGCATATACAACTATAAAAGGGTGAATTATATTTCTCTCCTACAAATAAAAAATTAATATTGCTAAAAATTTATTATTTAACGGTGTCTTTCTTTAATTTGTTTACTACCCAACCAACTACCCACTTTTGAATGCAGGTAACTTCATAACTACAAGCTGCTCAAGAACAAACACTAAATGTGTATTACACTGTATTATCTGACGTATTGAATGTTGCTTCAGAAAATTGAAACTGGCATCATGCTTGCAGAGTGGCTTGCATCAAAACCAGGATCAGGAGCATTTCCTTGATTTTACATCCAGGATATTCAGGTGTGCGAGGTGATGAGCAGGCTGATGGATTAGCTGTGTCACTCTTCGGGGCTGTGAGCTGCTTTATGATAAAGCAAACATGGTGAAGTCTCTTTGGGATCAAATCGACATGCAGTAGCACAGATAGAGTTCCCAACTGAAACTCACCTTAGGGGTTGTCAAGGTTCTGGGAGATTTGGCTACCGGAGAAAGGGAAGGAGCTTGTGTGGGAATGTTCTGGGTGCAGTGATGTCAGTTCTTGATTGATTGATTGATTCATTCATTCATTCATTGATTCATTCATTCATTCATTCATTCATTCATTGATTCATTCATTCATTCATTCATTAATTCATTCATTCATTCATCCTATTTAATGTAGATGTTAACAAATAAGAACCATTAAAGTTAGCTTTATAAAAATACACTTGTGTATTGTACATTAAAAGTAAAAATGTTTCCATTCTTTGAGACATACTAAGCATGTGGTGCTAGCTCCATATTTGTATAGACCTGTCAGTAACACAATCCGCCTTTACTTTCATAGAGCATTTCCTGGTCTCTCTTATTAGGCTGAGAATTGCTGGGCAATTTTTTTTAAATTTTGTTTTTTATGTCTTGATAGATGTTGAAACCTGTAACCATTGGGTTAGCAGGCAAGTGTTACAGTCTCCACTCTTGCTGGATATTTACATTAAATTAATCCAAGAAACTGTGACTTAGAGGCTTAACAAAGAGAGGAGAGATGAACTACTTGTTGTGGTTTGTTTCAAAGCTGCCACTTGTGGTTTATGTCCAGAAAGGTTCTGGCCGAAACATCTGATTTTTCTTTGTGTGATGTTCCTCCCACCCCCTTTTTTCCCGATCTTGGTCACATTAATTTATTTATGTTAGCTTGACTGCAGTTACCCCTGTTTTCATCAGTTTACATGTGTGCATTAATATATGTGTGTATATGCGTGCATGCACATGTACATGCTCACACAGGCAGAGTCAGTTGTTGAGAAGCACCCCCCACTATTTTCAGCTGCAGTGGTTTAGTGGCTATATGCTCACCTGTGGATCGGAAGGTCATTGGTTTGGGTCCTTTTAGAGCCGGACCTTTTTCAGACATGATCTAGACTCTCAGGTCGACCCAGCCTTTAGTGGTCACCAGGTACAGTCCTGGGAAGTGAAGGCCGCCTGCATGATGCTGACCACATCACCCGCCGAGTGCCGATTGGTCTACAAAATGTAGATCTAGCCCTGTATGCTTAGTACACCTGAAGACGAGGAAAAGGGTCCTTTAACTTTCACTTACCCCTACTATTATGTGCAGGTTCAGGCTCAGAAAGACGACATTGAAGATCAGCTAGCAGCACTGTCACTTCAGCAGTCCAGCCTTGAGGAGCTCATTGGGACACTCAAAGATGGGAGAGGAGCTCAGAAGATATGTGAATGGCATTCAAAGATGGATGCTGTCAGACTGGAGGAATTGAAGCAGAGAAGAAACAACACTAAACTGCAACAGAAGGTAGGAACAATTATGGATTTAAAAATATAGTTAATTATCTCCTTCATTCAGAAAATTATACTACTCAAAAACAGAAATGCAAAGCTTCTGTTAGGGACATAAAGTTTTGACATTCAAAATCTTTGTAACTTATTGAGTGAAATCATTCAGACCTTAGGGTCCAACCACTCAGTTGATAGTTCTTTTGCATTGGATCCTCAATAGTTTTTAGACGTACAGACTTTTTTGTCACCTAATAAAAACAATGAGTCCCTTTTTTTTAACAGTTTCTTTGGCAGATTATTTTTCTTATCTGCATTTTTCAGCTACACTTATCTGACTTCGAATTTTCTCTGGTTGGCAAATTCACAAATGTATCTGAACCAGTGGTTTTTGTTATTTATGTTTTTTGCTCTGAGAATGTCTCCATAGACTCTGGGATGCAACCTATAGAAGACATCCAACACTCATGTATTGTCTCACTTTCCTTGTGACTAAGGCTCTTTCTTATTAAATTAATCTGAGTGTTTCATTGGATGGCTGGCATTTCATCATATTTATGTTGTCTTTTCAGATCAGATACTTGGAAGAAATCATCCTTATGCATGAACGTACTATTTCAGAACTTGAAGAAGATAATGTGAGGATGATCAAGGTTAGTGTTACCAGTTCATGAGTTTGACTACATTGATATCTTTAGAATGTGTCAGAATTTTCTAATCATATTTTATTTTTCAGAACAGTACCAGAAATCTAGATTTGTATATGTATATACAATATACAAGATTAAGTGTCTCTGTGTATTATAACTTTTAAAAAATTTTATTTAACCTTTTCTGTTTGTTCACAGAGCAGCTCAGATATTTAGTCAGTTTTCATGTTTTATCTGAGCATTCAAAAGAATTGCTGTTCATTTTTAGCTAGCTATTTATGCTTTTTGCCCACACGAATGTGTATTCAGCTACTTAATTCCATAATTGTCTTTCCATTTTTTTTTTCTGTGACATTAGTACTCTTGCTTATGATGTTGGTATTGGGGTGGCTTTAAATCTGATTACTACGAGAGGAAGTTAGTAAGTAAGTCACAAATGGTCGTTTAAAATAAAAAAATAAAAACTAGAGACGTTAAGAACTTGAAAGCTGTTAATTTTTACACATATACTGTCCCTTTATTTTTCAACATAATTTCCACCAACACTGATGCACTTGTCCCATCGTTTTATCAGTCCTCCCAAACCTGCTGCATAAAACTGCATGCTCTGTTTTCTTAACCACATTTTCACTTCTCATTAGACTTCTGCATAATTCACGAAATATCTCCTGACAAGGTGGATTTTCAGTGGACACAAAAAAAAAAAGAAAATCACTAGTGGCTAAGTCAGGGCTGTAAGGTGGATGTCCCAGAAGTTCTCACCCTAGACAGTTAATTTTCTCCTGAGTTGACTAAGTTGTATGTGGTCTGGCATTGTCAGGAAGGAGCAGTACTTTCCTCTTATCAGTAGACCTGAACATTTTCTTGGAACTGGATTATAAAGCATCGATAGAACTTTACAGTATGAATTAGCATTCACCTTGTCACCTCCTTTTTTGAATTTTTTGAATTTGGTTAGAAGCACTTGTTGACATTCCCAGAACACTGTCAGTATAACCTTCCCTGCTGGTGGCATAACCGTGAATTTTTTGAACACAAGGCAAAGAAGAATATTTCTCATTGCATTGAACAGCATGTTGTTTTGT